AGCCCAAGTCCATGTGACAAACTTCTAGCCCTTACCGGGGATTGAACCCGAAACCTCTAGCACTCGAGGCGGACACCACGCCTCGAGACTACGCAGCCCCCTCACCTTTCATCATGACACCAGGTAATGCCACTTCTGTTGATGTGTTTTCTGATAATCCATCAGCATGACCAGACGATTCATAAGGACTATTTTAAAAAAAGTTATCCAATGTTTTAATTATTATTACTATTATTATTGTTTTTATTGTTATTATTTTATTATTATTACTTTAATTGCCCGAAAATATCCAAGCATATTGTCATTAAATGAATTGATACGCCTATTTCCCCGTGTGGGTTCCAGGGCCCTTTGAAAGGGGAAAAAATAATAGACCCACTGCCGACCCATGAGCATGGCGTAAGAGTCGACTTATTGGGAGCTTTCTTCGAAGTCGGAGTGCATCTGCTTGAGATGCAAGGAAAAAGCAGTCTGCAAACAAATGAGTGAGATCTGTAAAACGGATGCACACGCAACACTCAGGTTCTGGAACAGGATAAACAGCCAGAACTTTCCGCTAGAGTTTACAGCTGATGAACGCGAAGAAGGAGAAGAATACGCCTATTAAGTACAGCAATCTTTGGGCGTCATTTCTTGTTGAAAACCTGCATTTTTTGCCCAAGCGGACAGCCATTTTTAAATTTCAGTACGTAAAACCGGCCCATTATCTCCATTGTCCTCGTCTGATGAGGGACGAATATTGACTTTTCGGGCGAATATCCAACAACAATTTCAACAGAAGCAGGGGGCATCTATAAAATGTCGAATATTGGCGTGGAAGGTCGTTTATACATAGTTTGAGGAGAGGGCTAGATTTGACCCCTAGCCGTAGTTGACCCACCCCAGTTCTAGTCCTATATAACGGGTATCAAATAATCGCCAAAAATGCAACATAAATTGTCTGACCGGAAAAAGGATTGGGCGGGGAGAAGGGTGGGGGGGGGGGGGGGGCAACAATTAGCGCAAACACAAAGAAACAAACATTGGGGATGAGAGTGTGTTCGAGGATGGGTTACACATTTTTGGTGAAAGGGGCAAGGAGCATAAGCCTTGTTTAAGTGCTCAGTAAAAGTAATAGTTAAAATATAGTAATCATGTGCTGAATGGCAAATAAAGATTATAATCTATTTCAACACAATATTATATGTATAAACATAAGCTTAAATAGAATAGAAGATCTATACATGGTTAGGAAAGGTGACTTTGGGGGGGGGGGGGTGGTTTTAGGCAACACAATCCCCTTCCCCTCCATTACAAGTTCAAGGGATGGAAGGGCATGTGGGGTAGCTGTGGATGTTTCAGTGAGCGGAGGGAGGGGGGACAGGGATCCTCAAGGTACAACACACTCCAAGGTTCTGACGCCACTGGGGGGGGGGGGAGGGGGCTGACGTAGCATGGCACTGGTCACTGCAGCTCTGTACTGTTTTGACGTTTGGGCGATTTTAAGCGATATTTGGGCGATATTTATACAGTCTAGCCATATTTCTTTTAACCAACTACGCTAGCGAGCCTGGTAAGTAATAAGCATACAGGACAGGATACTTAGCTAGATAAAGAGAGACTTTCCGGTATGCCGTGAAGAGAACAAATAATCAGAATTGTTTACTATTCGGCACACAATAATTATAACTGTAAACTATATTATTATTACTCATTTGATCAAGGGCGAGACACACTAAGCACCCCCCCCCCCTCCTGCCCCTGACAAATGTACAAGGGATTAAACTCCCCGACTTCCTAAGTTTAATGTTTTCTTTGTGTCGGTACCTTCGCATGCAACCAAGTTAACAGTTTGCAACAGCCTTCCTTATACCCTACACATCTTCAGTTCGACATGCAATCGCAACATTTAACCAAATCAGTCGACACTAACAGCTGTCCCCACATTGCAACGATACCTACTTAATCAGAGCTTTACAAAGTTTGTGTCGTGACACATTAATATGTAGGCTGTAGTGTCAAGGTGAGTCGCGCAAACGTGAAGCGTTGAACAGAATAATCGGCACAACACCCTATGGTCAACGCCGACTTACACGGCTATAATATTTTACTAAACACGCAGCACTAACACGTTTTTGAACAATTATAAGCCAGATTACATTTTTAACTTTTTATTTCGGTTACGTACTATGCTAGGTAAAGGTAAAGTCGGGAGATGTGAACCAGCGTCATTGCACACGGTTATAAACCACAAGTGCTCTGTCACCAGTACGGATAGCTGATAAGAGTTGTCCACCTGTGTCGCCGTCGGCACGTAGCTCTGTAGCTACAGCGACGTTCCTCCATTTACCCCAGAGTGTCAACTCTGGTACCCATTTCCTAGAGGTTGGGTGAACCCCGGGAACCCCCCGGTTTCGAACACCGACCATGGCTGCAGCGAGTCGCAGCTGGATTTGAAAGCGAGCCTTTTATCGACTGCGCTAAAGCGGCCCCAAAGTGCACCCCCGACGCTAGGTGTACCGAGGAAAATCGGCACAGAACCAATGCTGAACTTTATAGACAGACAACAACTCAAATGGTTTGACCATGTAACAAGATTGGCAGCAGACAGGGCCCCACAGAAAGCTATGCTATACAGATACAGCGGTAACAAATCCTGAGGTCGACCACGTAGAATATGGACCGCAGAAATATCAGAGACACTGAAAAGTAATTTATACGAAGCGAACAGAAGGGCTCGTTCCAGAGATCTCTTCCTGTCCTGACGCCACAAGGCATTCCAAGATTTGAGATTTGAGGTTGAACAACGGATAAACATCATGGCACACGGGTAGTAACCCATAAGTGCTCCGTTCTTCATGTAACTCAAGCCTGAGTCCGAAGAAGCTCAGCACAGCGCACAGGCTCTGTAGCACTGGCGAGGATCCTGAAATAGTTTGGGTAGATTTTAAGCTCCAAGTGTTTTGCCTGGGAAGCGCCGTTAGGCTACTCTTTTCGATTTTCAAATGCCAACGGATTTTTCACCTGCGCAACAATGCACACGGGCGTCGGATCTCACTACCCAGAGGCCCGGGGAAATTACTAAAGTCCAAGTCCATGTGAAAAAATCCCAGCCCTTACCGGGGTTAGAGCCCGCAACCTCTAGCACTCGAGGTGCACACCATGCCTTGAGACCACGCAGCCCCCTGCATTTCAGCAGTAGAAAAAAAAAGAGGGGAAAAAAAGTATATCAGCTGTTAACCTAAATTAGTAAGCCATTCTGCTACTCAGTCTACAATTTGGAAGACTCATCATCGTGTGCCCTGCCAACTGGCGTGGGCGCTCATGCGCCTTCACATATCACGATCCATGGTTGACCGAAACAGCTTTCTTGATGATATCCCTCCATGTCATCGTTTTAGCCCATCCAGCATCTCTCTCTCTCTTGGTCTGCCTCTAGCCCTTTTTCCACTGATCTTTCCAGTTGTCACGATGTTCTCCAATGTCTCTCTTCTCATTATGAGGCCAAAGAACAGTGTTTGTCTCTTTCTTATTGTTGTATAAAGAGATCTACTTCCATTAGCTTCTTTCAAACAATCGTTGATAGTTACTCTGGCCGTCCAAGTTATTCGTAACATTTGTCTCAGAAACCACATCTCTGTTGCTTTCAAATTCTTCATAATTTGTTCAGTGACATTCCAAGATTCGCTGCCATACAGCAGAACAGGTTCTATGTAACATTTTAGCAGCCTCTTTCTGACATTAAATGAGAGCGATTTATTTCATAAGACTAGTTAGCTGAATTACTGTGTCGGGAAATTACGTTAGTCCTCAAAATTTATCGGGAGCCACCCTGATGTAGCGACTAGACACTCTCCTGCGAATGCGAAGGTCGTGGGTTTGAATCCTGACCGAGCCGGATTTTTTTTTAAGCTGACCTTTTCTCCCATGTTGACCCAGCCATAAGTGGGTACTAGGTGAAGTCCTAGAAAGTAAAGGCGGCCGGCTTGATGTTAACGATAATGGCGGGACAGATGTTATATTAGGGGCAATTTGGGAGTGGGTGGGCGTTGCGGAGGTACAGATAGATCATTGTGGTCTGGGGAGAATGGCGCTGCGAGGCGTTGCTGGGTATCTGGCCGGCGCTCGGCTCTCTAGGGGAGGGGCGAGATGAATGTGCAATAGGACGGATACTGGTGCCATCGGAATTGGCACTCTTCTCTTGCTGCTGAAGATAGGGAAGAAGCGCTTATGGGAGTGTCGCGAGTTTTATGAAGTCGCTTCTAAATTCAACATTCAACCCACCGAATACCGCTCGGTCTTTTAGAATATAGGTCTAGCCCCATATGCCTTGTATGCATAACGAGTGGAAAAGTGTCTTTTTACTTCACAAAGTTCGTCCCCGCTCGGTCTTTTAGAATATAGGTCTAGCCCCATATGCCTAGTATGCATGACGAGTGGAAAAGTGTCTTTTTACTCCACAAAGTTCGTCCCCAACGTAAGTTTTGAAATCTCTCTACAAACGCAACGAATTTCAAAATAAACGTGCAACTAATGACTCGTAACTAAGGATAAAGTACCACAACTCTCATATCTTTTTCAGTCGTGTTCCCGCCTTTCAACCGTTACGACTAAAGAAAATCTCAACAAGTATAGTCTGTTTACAAATGGCCAGTTTTTCCTTCAAGCAGCACAATATGAAAAGCAAATATCCTAACCCTGGCACTAATGACGCGTACAAAATCATGTCACCAACCTTGTAAATAGTTTTATAAAAATCGATAAACGGGGCAACGGAATTATTCATACTGATTTAAAGACATGATAGAGCGATTTTCTTTCGGGTGATTTAAATTCTGATCTCTCCTTGTCAGTCGGTACACGGGTGTCACTTCACTTCTATCGGATATTTTTGTAGATGTGTCAGGCAGATTCGGTTAAACTTTAAACCAACGTCATGTCTTACGAATAATTCTTTTGGAATAGTCAGAGAGAATGTGGAATGTTTCTGTATTTAGACTAAACATTTGTGTCTGCGATTAATGGTCATGACTGGTAATTATAAACTTTACATGTGTATTGTTTCAAAATTGAACATAATATGTAAGATCTTAAATTACATAATTTTACTATATATCACTAGGGGCATCGATAAAAAGAAAACATAAAGTGTTCAGAGGACACAAGCCACCCCTTCCCTACAAATTTTCCGAATGGTTCACGAAACCTAGTGTCGGATTTAGGTATAAACTACATCTTAGGGCCTCACAGTCCGTATGGGCGTTAAATAATTCATATGCGTTCACAAATGCAATTTCCTTTGAATATTTGTAACCCCACCCTCACCCCCTTTTTTCCAACCAAGATATTTTCTTATTAAATGAATTGGCCTATTATTTTGGGTATATTATCTCAAGCTTTTAATTATTTTTATTTCTTGCAGCCTTTACAAATGGAATAAATGGAACTTATAACTAACTCGCCCACACAGTGAGAGTTCCTTCCCCCTTCCATTTATGCCACGACCGGTCGCACGACTTGTCCTATGTTGTGTGGGTATTTTAAGATGACTTCGGCGTTCGCTCGCCATACATAATGTTTGTAACTCTCTTTGAGGTGCCGCAGGCGCTTGTGTACAAGCAAGAACTAATGCATAGGGAAGCGCTGAAGGCCGAATAAACTGGGATGATCTTCTATTTCTACGTTCCTTGGCGATGGCCGCCCCCTCCCTCCAGAAAAAAAAAGGTCACTGACAAGAAACATAAACATACAAAAACATCCCAGTTTCCATACTCCCGAACTGTTAGGCAAGTAGCACAAGGTGAAAATAATGATTAAGTGAGCGGTGACAAGAAGAAGAAGAAGATAAAGAAGAAGAAGAAGAAGAAGATAAAGAAGAAGAAGAAGAAGAAGAAGATAAAGAAGAAGAAGAAGAAGATAAAGAAGAAGAAGAAGATAAAGAAGAAGAAGAAGAAGAAGAAGAAGAAGAAGAAGAAGAAGAAGAAGAAGAAGAAGAAGAAGAAGAAGAAGAAGAAGAAGAAGAAGAAGAAGAAGAAGAAGAAGAAGAAGAAGAGGAAGAAGATAAAGAAGAAGAAGAAGAAGAAGAAGAAGAAGAAGAAGAAGAAGAAGAAGAAGAAGAAGAAGAAGAAGAAGAAGAAGAAGAAGAAGAAGAAGAAGAAGAAGAAGAAGAAGAAGATAAAGAAGAAGAAGAAGAAGAAGAAGAAGAAGAAGAAGAAGAAGAAGAAGAAGAAGAAGAAGAAGAAGAAGAAGAAGAAGAAGAAGAAGAAGAAGAAGAAGAAGAAGAAGAAGAAGAAGAAGGAGGAGGAGGAGAATGAGAAGGAGAATGAGAAGGAGAAGAAGAAGGAGAAAAAGAAGAAGAAGGAGGATGAGAAGGAGAATGAGAAGGAGAAGAAGAAGAAGAAGAAGAAGAAGAAGAAGAAGAAGAAGAAGAAGAAGAAGAAGAAGAAGAAGAAGAAGAAGAAGAAGAAGAAGAAGAAGAAGAAGAAGAAGAAGAAGAAGAAGAAGAAGAAGAAGGAGAAGACGAAGAAGAAGAAGAAGAAGAAGAAGAAGAAGAAGAAGAAGAAGAAGAAGAAGGAGGAGGAGAATGAGAAGGAGAATGAGAAGGAGAAGAAGAAGGAGGAGGAGGAGAAGAAGAAGAAGAAGAAGAAGAAGAAGAAGAAGAAGAAGAAGAAGAAGAAGAAGAAGAAGAAGAAGAAGAAGAAGAAGAAGAAGAAGAAGAAGAAGAAGAAGAAGAAGAAGAAAGAAGAAGAAGAAAAAGAAAAAAAAAGAAGAGAAAAGAAGAAGATGACGAAAGACATTAATTATCAGCAGCAATGTCGCGTCACTAAGATTCCCTACATATTTACAATTAACCATGAGTATTTTCAAACACCATAATTCGTGTTCAGTTATATCGTAATAGAAACACTTGAAGTTTCTGTTGATTTATATATAGCTATCTTAAAAAAAGGGTACTATTTAAATAGCTCTTACTATTTGCAAATACATATCGACCTTATTGCACGGAGGACACGCAGAAAGAGAAGAGGAATAATGGAGAAAATGATTGCAGATATATCTGAGAGTTTAGGTAGGTGCTTGGCTAGACACACAAAAAACGTCACACTTTGAACCAGCATTCCCGAAGGGGGAGCTTTAGGTTATAACTGTGTCCAAGTTATGTGCACCGTAGAAAATGGCTTATCAGTGCGCGCCACCAAGAGCCCTGAAAATGACACCTGCAGTATAGATGCGATCAAAGGAGACAGACCCAAATCCTGTCCCGACAGGCGACGAAGCCTTCTACAGGCGAGGCAATGAGCCAACCGGTCGTCGCTGAGCTGAACGTCTCAGAAGATGCACATTCGATACATGTGATGGCAACAAGTGACCTGAAATCTTATGCTTTAATTGTGAAAGACTTTTCTTAACACGAGCAGTTCTTTCTAGTCACACTCGCCATCGCCATGGGCTGTGGCTATTTTATCTCCCTACAGCAGAGCGGTCACCAGTCTGTAAGGGTCGGAGGGGGGGGGGGGGGGGAGGGTATGGGGTATGGGGTAGTTAGGGGGCGTGGTTGATGCGACCCTTCATAAGGGCAGATGAGGAAAGGGAAGGGGAGAAGGCGTTTCAGTTGCCGCAACCTATACAGGACTTTGCTGAACCAACTCCAGCATTCTTTTGGCTGTTGTGGTTTTTCTACGCAAGTTTACGACCTGTAGTTGCCACCTGGACGGTCGGGTCTCGGTACCGCAGTCGAATTTCATGCAAGGCGGTCTGCTGCCAAATCTTTTGCAGCCGGGATCGAACAAGGCATCCAGACATTACGAAAACGCGTTCGCGCCGTCTAAGCCACAAACGCCGACCGGAAGGAAGGGGGGGGGGGGGGGCTGGAGGTTTTAGTAACGGTCGTCAAATAATTTGATTTTAAGTGCATTTGTACTTCTAATGATTCAGACTTTCAGCTTTAACAGTCATGAAAAGAAAACAACATTGCCAGCTTGGTGTGGACAGTGATCTCCGTTGTGCTGTGCCGAACATCAGACCAACAGTAGCTATATCATCAAGACAAAGCAGTGCCAACCATCACTTTTATATTTGGACACTAAATTGCTAGTTGTTAGTGATTGTTTCTTTTAGTTGTTTGACACTGTGAATTATGGGCGTGTTTTTCTCCAGATTCGTTTTAACAGTACCTGGGATTTTATTTCTCGTCTTTTATTTACATTTTGATTTGCTGAGCGGTAGATGAGGGGACGACATGGGGTCCTGCTAAATACTCAAGGTTGGTGTCACCTGAAATAAGGTTGCATACCACTACTATGTCGGCTCTGTGGCTAAGTCGATGTGAACGCTTCGTAATGCCGGGATGCCGGGTTCGATCCCAGCTGCGGGCCATGTGCCTTGCGTTGGTTTCGACAGTGGTATCAAGAAATCCGACCGTCCAGGGGCAATGGCAAACTACTGGAAGTAAATTTGCCTAGAAAAACCACACAAAAGCCCTGGGCTTTTGGGTTGGTTCTGCAACGTCTTGTAAAGGATACGCAACCTACCTAACCACTACTATATAAAGCACAGTATTACACTGTTGTGTGGAACAATAGAAAAGTGCAAACAACAAATAATATATGTTTTTCTTGCCAATGTTTTAGCAACGAGACACAGAGGAAAGATGTTCTCCTTGATCTTAATTGCCATGACTGTTTTCCTGCAACCATCCCAACAATCCGTAAATATGTCTTTTGTTTCCTCTTTTTTCTTCACATTTCTTACTTCCGCTGTCTTTGCTTCCTTCGCCTGTATTTATCGTTTCATTTTACTTACTTTTGTCTTTCATTTACATAACTTATGTCATTTACCAAATGATTTCACCTACTTAACTTAATACCCGCACTTCACTTGAATTTTCATACCTCAGTCTCTCGTTTCGCCAACTCTACTCACTTCATTTGCGTTACCCACATACCTTACATTACTCACTTAATTTATTTTAATTACTTCACTCATATTACTTAATTTATCTACATTACGTACTTTATTTACATTGCTTATTTCACTTACTTTAGCCACCCCACCCACTTCACTTATTTACACACACGACTCATCTAAACGAGTCCATTCACTTTACTCATTTCACTTACTTACTACAGTTAGTTTGCTCAGTTTGCTCCCTTTACTTGCTTTACTTTCTTTGCTGACTTCACTCACATAATTTACTTCACTTACATGACTTACGTTACATATATACTTAAATTATTTCACTTTACTTTCTTCACTCACCTCGATTACATTACCCGCATCTCTTACACTACGCACTTTACCTTCTTTACCCAGTCACCTTCACTAACTTTATTGACTTTATTTATCCTTGAATCCCCGTGTGGGTTTCAATGTCCCATTTAAAAAAAAAAAAAAAAATTACCACTGCTCTGAAAAAAGCATGACATGTCATGCATTGGGCCAAAATACGCAGACATCACAGCCAGGTTGTGAATCACAACAGAACGCAGGGTGAACGCAGTAGAAAGAAGAAGAAAAAGACAAAGAAGAAGAAGACGAAGAAGAAGATAAAGAAAAGAAGAAAGACGAACGCAAAAAAAAAAAGAATAAGAAAACGAAGAAGAAGGAAGAGAAGAAGAAGAAGAAGAAGAAGAAGAAGAAGAAGAAGAAGAAGAAAAAGAAGAAGAAGAAGAAGAAGAAGAAGAAGAAGAAGAAGAAGAAGAAGAAGAAGAAGAAGAAGAAGAAGAAGAAGAAGAAGAAGAAGAAGAAGAAGAAGAAGAAGAAGAAAAATAACAACAACAAAAAGAAGAAGAAAAAGAAGAAGAAGAAGAAGAAGAAGAAGAAGAAGAAGAAGAAGAAGAAGAAGAAGAAGAAGAAGAAGAAGAAGAAGAAGAAATCTCCTTATTTACTATTACAATGATAGCGTGAACTACAATTTAGATTGACTATCAACAGACAAACACACCCCCTCCCCCACAAATCGTCCTGGGTGCCATTGATGTACAGACGAACGAGGTTGAGGACAGACGTGTCATGTTGGGCCCTGCACCTTTGGTCTCTTGCACGGACGAGGACCCGGCCAGGGCGACTATCCAGTCAATATCTCCCAACTCACAATGCGGCCTCAAGTGTTTAAGTCTGGAGCCATGTCCAGGTGGCAGCAACACGTCAGGTCGGTTGTAAACGGTTTGTTGTACGTATTTGTCAACCCACTAGCTGATACATGCGCTATTCGTACCAACTTTGTGCTATCAGTGCCGGACATTATCATCAATCATAAATTCTCTTTATGCCTAATGGCACATGAGGCTTTAGAGAGGACTTTCCATGCTTTCCTGTCCTGTGCAATTTTCAGTGCAGTTTTCAATGTCAGAGATGCCGCATTCAGTTCACTCTCCATCGTTCGTCTCCATGTTGTTTTGGGCGCCCTTATTTACTCTTTGGGCGGGTTTGGCCGTTTCAAACATCTTTCTTACATTCCAGAAGCCAATTATGCTGACAGAGGGACTCTGTCCCAAGACCGCCCGACGTTTAGAGCATTTATTTCCTCTTAAAGTTTCAGTAAAGTGGTAGTTTTTTTTTTTACAGGGCAGAGCTGTCAACATTGCGCCCAACCCCCAACCCTGGAGGACCGGGAGGCCATCTTTAGTCTGGCCCCTCACCAATGACCTGTCCGGCTTGGGTGACCCTGCCAGGAACATACGTTCCCGCCGGCATAGCTCATTAGATCATTGAGGCTCTTAAGTTCCCCCACCACTACAAGGTTATGGCCTCTGAGAGGAGAGTGCCAAACATGGACAGTCCTTAAAAAAAACACGAAAAGCAAAATTATGAGATGAGATGTACAAGAAAGGCTGTGGGGAAAAGAAGAATAGAGAGTCACAAATGAACTAAGAAAAACGGTTGGCACAGTACCTGTATATGATTTCATAGAATATCAAAGAATCAAATGGTTTGGTCACTTGGTCAGAATGGAATAAAATCAGCCAGTAGCTTGAGCATACTACACGAGAACAGCAAACTACAAGGCAAGAGGCCGACCAAGAAAGAGATGGGTGAAGGGAGTAAAAGAGATACAACTAAAATGCAGTATAGCATTAACACAAGCTACTCACCTATCAAAAGACAAAAAAAAAAAAAAAAAAAACTGACTCATCTCTGCAACGCTTTACAGCAGTAGGACAAAAGAAAAGAGAAAGAAGGCTCAACCAGGTGTCGTCTCGGTAAAGAAGGTTTGGTTGCAATGGATCCCCAGCACCTCTGTCGCTGGTCATAATTGTACTTTCTCCAAGACTGGTTTTCCTCTATCTCTTAATTATCATGGGTGATCATGCCTCTCCACAATCTGCGATCTCCTGCAGCATGTATCAGTTCGTGTGCCGACACACCTCCATGCCATGCAACAAGACTGTCAAGAGACTTCTCTCGTTGTCTTCCTCTATCTCTCCTTCCGCAGATCTTTCCAGTGGTCACAGCATGTTCCGTTCTCCCTTTTCTCATAACTTTGCCGAAAAATTATGACTGTATCCTTCTGATGTCTGTGATAAGATGTCTTATCATCATCATCATCATAAACCACTTCTGCCGTTAAGCGCCGTGGGGAGGAATAATTTGCGATCCAGTGCACGTTGGCTGCCACTGGCTATTGTCATGCCGTAAAGGCGTAGAGTGTCTTTAATGTTGTCGATCCATGTTTTCCACGGCCGTCCTCTTGATCTGCTGTTTCTCGATGAATTTAATACAAGGTGTCGTTCCCACAATTTGCCCGATATTTTAATTATTCACTCGATCACGGATGGTTAGGTTGGCTGCTCTTCTCAGGCACCTCATCTCGCAGGTGGTAATTTTGCGTATAGTTGTCTTATCATCTCTTAATATTATTCTTTAATTCTATCGATGTCTCTATCTAGTTTCTTCTGCCTTTCTAACCCCACGTGGAACATAGGCCCTCAACCAACTCACGCCAAGTCTTTCTATCCTTCGCTATCGCATGCAGCTCTCTCAATGTCCTCCCCATCTTTTTAATTTCACTTTCTAGCTCTCTTCTCCATGAGTATTTTGGTCTTTTTTTTATTTCTATACCGCTGTGGGTTCAAGTACAAAGACATTCTAGGTATATGGTTCTCAGGTTTTCTCATTGTGTGTCCTATCCAACGCTGGCGTCGTTACTTCACCTCTTGGTCCACTGGAATTCGTTTAGTTCTCTTAAAAAGCTTTACTTTAGGGATTCTATCATACCATTTAATTCCCTCTTTTCTGCGTAGACACCAGTTAAATACATGTTTGTAGTTTATTATTAAGTGCTTTATTGTCCTTGTTTCCGCTCCATACAACAGGACTGATTCGACATCAGAACTGACAATTTAAAGATTACTATTAGTTTGAATTTCTTTTGACACACATTCCCCAATGCTATGAAAGCTCATCTTGCCTTTTGTATTAGTATTTTAATATCTCTATCAGCTCTCACATCTTTATCTACATTACAACCCAAATAGGTGTACGACTCTGCGTCTTGGAGTGGGATACTATTAGGAGAGACCACATAATGTGGTTTGTTCCCCCTTCTTTATCTACATTACAACCCAAATAGGTGTATAACTCTGCGTCTTGGAGTCGGATACCATATAATGTGGTTTCTATCTAGTTTACTTGCAGTCAATTTCTCCTCCCTGTTTGGTTTTTAGATTGTACCCATTTAAAGTCAGATCCACTTAAGCTTAAGTTAGTTCTTCTTCTTTTTAGCGCTTACCGGCTGCAAACTCCGGTGGAAAGTTCTGGTTGTTCGCCAGCCTCTGTCAGTTGGTCTTCTTCTTGAGTTTTGCGTCTGCATCAGTTTTAAATATCTGACTTATTTGTGTTCACACTGTTGGTTTCTCCCTTTTAAGCAGATGCATTCCGACTTCAAAGGAAAACCTAGTTTATAATTCCATCTCGATCCAGAATCGGATGCACGATCTCTAGCCCGACAGCCTTGCATCAAACAGTTGATTAATATCCCCTTTCACGCCTTAGGCGCATCAGGCATATAGGAAGAGCGTTCCATATTTTTTACAGACCAACGACACTGGGTGTGTGTTTTTTTAAATAGATTTATTTTATTCACTATTCGTATTCGTATTCGGCAGAATAGTTCGTCCCGCTATTCGTTTTCGGCCGAATAGTGAAAATCACTATTCGGTTCACCCTAATTTAGACATTTATGTAAAATGAGAGAGAGGGAGAGAGAGAGAGAGAGAGAGAGAGAGAGAGAGAGAAAGAAGAGAGAGAGAGAGAGAGATGGCTACCACTGCAGGCATTGGAAGCTAAGAACCAGGTAACCAGACCCCCAGGACGACCCAGATCTTGCTGGAAAGACAACATCCGAGAGTTCCTGATTGACAGAGGACTGGAATTGAACAAAACCAAACAGAAAACTGATGATAGAGAGGCATGGAAATCTCGCTAGCACTCCTACACCCCAAGGGTATAAGACGACCTGCTTTGTTGAGCCTTGGTTATATTTGAGATCCCTTTGTTGCTGTCGTTGTGTTTGTTGGTCTCGTCTTTACATGGGGTCTTCGTTGCAAAGCGGTTAAGCCGTTTGCTTTGCTCTCTGAAGCTCGTGGTGTTGATTTCGTTGCCTGTGTCGCTCGGTTAATTATTTTTGTTAAACACCCCTGGGGATCATAACTGGAGCTACGGAGTTCGTGTTTTATGCAATACTCTGGACATGAGAGTAACTAATCCATATGAGGTGAAACCGTGCTGCTACCAAGTTGATCTTAGGCTTAGGCGTTGCGAACGTGCTTCGTAATGCCGGGGTACCGGGTTCGATGCCAGCTGCCGACGATTTGACAACAAACCGCTTTGCGTTAGGTCTGACAGTGACATGGAGAGCCAACAGTCCAGAAAGCTATTGCAAACGACTGGACGTAATTTGCCTACCCACAACAGTAAAAAAAAAATGATGTGGTTGTTTCTGCAACTCTCTATAACGAAACTGACTTAAAAAATTTTTATTTCTGCTTCTAATAACTAAGAGTGCAAAAAGACAGATTATTAATAGCATATTCATTCCAACTTTAAGTTACCAGTGCCAAACATTGACACTATCTAAAGCCCATATACGCAAAATCACCACCTGCGAGATGAGATGCCTGAGAAAAGCATCGAACCTAATCATCCGAGATCGAGGGAATAATGAAACTTTCAGGCAAATTGTGGGAACGACACCCTTTACTAGGTTCATCGAGAAACAGCAGATGAAGTGGTTTGGCCATCTCGTTAGAATGCAGCAAGATTAAATACCATCACAAGCACTACATCTCAGAAGATCAACTACAAGAGCAAGAGGACGACCTCGGAAAATAGATCGATAACATTAAAGACACTCTACGCCTTTTGGCATGACAATAGCCAGTGTAGCCAACGTGCACTGGATCGCAAATTATTCCTCCCCACGCCGCTTAACGGCAGAAGTGGTTTATAATGATGATGATGATTTATGCTTCTAACATGTCTATGCTCCGTCGTGGCTCCAGATTTCCTTAGCCTCACCAGTTAATGTTTATGACACGCCTTCTCGCAATAAAACTCATCATTTCTCCAATTCTGCAGAATTCTGCCTGTTCTACGTGCCAGGACAAGGTAAATACAACTACGCTAGCGTACCCCAGTATAATCTGATTATTGCTTGTACAGACGATGTGGAGAAACCAACAGCAGTGCCTCTGATCATGAGGATCGCTCCAAACACCCCGCCAGACTGGGATCCGTCAACGCCAATAGTTGGTAAGTGTGATTGGTCTTTGTTCCGTCACCGCCATTAGTTGGTAAGTGTGATTGGAATTTGTTCCCTCAACGCCATTAGTTGGTAAGTGTGATTGGACTTTGTTCCGTCAACGCCAGTAGTTGGTAAGTGTGATTGGACTTTGTTCCGTCATCGTCATTAGTTGGTAAGTGTGATTGGACTTTGTTCCGTCAACGCCATTAGTTGGTAAGTGTGATTTGACTTTGTTCTGTCAACATCATTAGTTGGTAAGTGTGATTGAACTTTGTTCCGTCAACACCATTAGTTGGTAAGTGTGATTGGACTTTATTCCGTCAACGCCATTAGTTGGTAAGTGTGATTGGACTTTGTTCCGTCAACGTCCTTAGTTGGTATGAGTAATTAGACTTTGTTACATCAACGCCATTAGTTGGTATGTGTGATTAGACTTTGTTCCGTCAACGCCATTAGTTGGTATGTGTGATTAGACTTTGTTCCGTCAACGCCATTAGTTGGTAAGTGTAATAACGTTTCTCTTTGCATCTGTCTGGTCTTATCTCGACCCTATACTTCCCTCTGTTACGATGTAAGTTATAGAAACATAAAGAAATAGTCAGAACACGATGATGGTATTGGTACTTATTTTTCGCTATGGCAAATTAGTCATTCTGTCTTTGTCGTAGATTCTCACTGTCGTTTGCATCTCGTTCACGACTGACTGTCACGACTGGACTACACCTAGACAATAGATTCAATTATCTTTCAGTCTGAATGTCTCGTTCACGCAGGTATCTTAAATCTGGATCACCGTACAACAAACGTTCACAGTCACCCGTGGATATGATTCAGAGTCAATCTATTCAGTCATCCCTTGTGTTCCAAGTCCAAGTACACACAGGGCGTCTTTGGACACATCATTGTTGTTCACCAATGTGCCGTTGGAAGTAATCTTCAAAATTACTGAAGCTGGACATTCAAAAGTCCACATTGGTCAGACTGCTACGTCTTTGTATCGTCAATGTTAAATTCAATTTTTTGGAAACGAGTAACCGTTAAATTGACGGAGTAGCCATGGGAAAACTGCTAGGTCCTATCTTGGCCGACTTCTTTATGGCAAATATTGTAAATAGTAGATCTGCCCACATCAGTGATCTTGTTTTGTACCGTTGGTATCTAGATGACATTCTAATAATAACTGCTGACAAACAGCAAGCCACTGCGTTCCATACCACCATGAACCAGTCACACAGAAACATCACATTATCGTTACAACACAAACATGACAGTACTTTACCAGTTCTTGATGTACTTATTGCACGTAGAAAGGATGGCAGTATCAAAAGATCAGTATACGGAAAAGAAACATGGACAAGCCAGTACCCATTCCAAACGTGGTATAGTAAAGTTTCATACATGAGATTTGTTATTTTTGAAGTTACCTAAATGATTCATGAAAGTAAAAGTAAAAAGTAAAGGACCCTTTCCCACCTCTTTAGGTGTATAGGGCATATAGGGCTAGATCTACATTTTATAGACCAATCGGCACACGATGAGTGGTGTGGTCAGCATCACGCCAGCCGCCTTTACTTCCCAGGACTGCACCCGGTACCCACACAAGGCTGGGTCGACCTGGGAGCCAAGGTGATTTTGGAAAAAAGTCCGGTGCCGCCAGGGAGCGAACCCACGACCTTCCGATAACGATTCATGAAGTAGCGTTAGCTTCACACATTGTGTGCCGAAAGCTTTATTAAAAACTGTTACTATTACATACGCAATTCTCTTCAAGCCGTTGAAATATGCCCGGAACTACTTTTGTATTTTTCTATTTTCCAGACACAAAAACAGTCAGTGCGACGACGCTTAAGGCTGGGGTACCCATATATACTCTCAGAACCAAAGATATCGACGACGACGCCGTCTATTACACCATGACGACCGACCCCAACACCCCGTACCTTAATATTGGATACGGTAAGTCTGAAAGTACATCGAAGGTCAGTGGTATGCTCCGAAGGTTGCTGGCATCTCTTGATGTCAGTGGTACGCTGAAAGTAGATGATATGCTCCGTAGGTGCATTATATGCTCTAAATTTGGATGGTATGCTCTAAAGGTGAATGGTATGCTCTGAATTTAGAGGATATGCTCTAAATATCGATAGTAGGCTCTGAAGGTGGATCGTGTGCTCTGACAGGCACTATATTCTCTGGGCGTGTGTGCATGGTATACTGTGAATTTCGATGGTATGCTCTGAAGGTCAATGTATGCTTTAAAGGTGGATGGTATGCTCTGATGGTCTATGTATACTCTGAAGTGGTATGGTGTGCTCTAAAGATCGCTGGTATGCTCTGAAGATTTACGTATATTCTGAAGTGGTATGGTGTGCTCTGAAAATCGCTGGTATGCTCTGACGGTCTATGTATTCTCTGAAGTGGTATGGTGTGCTCTGAAGATCGCTGGTATGCTCTGATGGTCTAGGTATTCTCTGAAGTGGTATAGTGTGCTCTGAAGATCGCTGGTATGCTCTGATGGTCTATGTATTCTCTGAAGTGGTATGGTGTGCCCTGTATGTCGATGTTATGCTTTAAAGGCGGATGGCATGCTCTGAAGGTGGATAGTATGCTCTAAAGCCCTATGATGTGCTCTGAAGCCCTATGGTGTGCTCTGAAGTTAACAGTGTGTTCTAAAAGTTGTTGGTATTCTCCGAACTTCGATGCTACGCTTCGTGCAGAGTGACTAGAATCGCATGAGATATTCCGAGTAGTTAGAATAGTTTGTATATATCTGGATAAAAAGAAGTCAGATCTGTAAAACGGATTTACACGCAAAGGTCTAGCTCTAGAACAAGTCCAAAGTCCGTAAATGGACGAACATTCAGAGCTGTCCACTGGATTTCACAGTTGGTAAAGGGGCAGCGTGGCTGGGATTTTTTCACGGGGATTTTAACTTCTAATGATATCCCTGGTCTCTGGGTAGTGAGATAGGACGGCCGTGTACATTATTGCACAAGTAAAAATTCCCTTGGCAATTAGCAATTGAAAAGAGTTGCCTAACGGCGCTGCCCAGGCAAACATTTTGAGTTAAAAATATACCCGAAGTATTTCAAGATCCTTGCCGGTATTACAGCGCACATGCACTGTGCTGAGCTTTTTCGGACTCAGACTTGAGTTAGAAGAAGAACGGAGCACTTATGGGTTTCTACGCGTGTGCCATAATGTTGGTCCATTGTTCAAGCCTCAAACCTCACAGCTGGTAAACGTTAACAAGAAAAATATCCATTTATATTATCTTTGTTTAATCTTCCCCCTGTATCCACATACAAGGTCCGACAATTAAGTAATGAGAATGATTTTACTATGGTTAAGACAAAAATGCCATCTATGATTCACAGCACTGTAAAAGAGACAACCTTTGTCTATAATCTGGTAACTTTTCATCGCCACCCGGTAAGCAAACAACAAACGAGCCGCCATTTTGTGAACCTAGTCAGAGGTGCATTGTTACCTAATCAGCATGGAGCAAAAAGGCTAACATTAAATTATGTTTAAACCTCAGAAAAAGCGCCAGTGCTTCAGTTGAATTGATGCGACACGTTTATGGTGATAAATGTTTATCTCGTGCACAGATTTTCAGCTGATATTCACAATTCAAAAGTGGTGTGGAAATGATTACTAATGCAATGTGACATGGACGCCAAATTTCTGTTCGTAATAAGGAACTCAATGCAAAATTCCGAGAGCGGATACAGACTGACTGGCTGACTTTCTACCCCACCAGGACATCACACAAGCGATAAACACCCGATGACACAATGTGCCTCCATGTGAGCGAGGATCACCGTGAAGAGGTCCCAGAAACCGCGTCCAGCCTTTAGGCCATATTTATGGCCAGTCTATATTGGAGTAGGGCTTCAGTTAACGAAAAATTGTATCCTAAAAACTACGAAAAGTATTCACAGAGCAGCTAGAGCGGATACATGAAGATCATTGTTCAACTGTGAGGATGACGGTAGATCAACTTGGTGTTAAAACAGAGAGAATATGTTCGTAAAATTGTAGTGGAAGATTTGGGAAAGAAAGAAAAGTTGCTTGCGGGTTTGTATTCAACACCTGGCAATTTGTTTCTTCTTCTTGACTATGCACCGGCTCCAAAAAGGGGGGTTGGGGGAGGGGGTGGGGTGGGAGGGAGGAAATTGTACAGGAATTTTTAGCCCAAAAACAAGTGCCTGTTCTCAACCATCCACCCTATTTCCCCGGATTTGTCTTCCTGTGACTATTTTCAATTTCCAAAATAAAAGTTGCCATTGAAAAGACGCTTGTTTGACGAAATTGGTGACATCCAAAGGACTGTAACATCCACTTTAGGGGCCATAACAACAGAAGAACTACAGAGGTCGTTTCAGTGTTTGTTAGATCGTGCCACCCGCTGTATCAATACACAAGAGGCTTACGTAGAAACAAAAATACAGGTTACATCTTCAACAGTTGATTTAAAAAAATATTTATTGAATTAGTCTCATTACCTAATTGTCGGACCATGTATAGTCTCTCACCACCACTTTCTATTTATAGTATAGAAACTGCCTTTCTATAGAAATTTATTATATCTAGTGATCCCCTTGTCAAATGCAATTTTTCGTTATTTGAAGCCCTACTCTGGCTCTTGCCAGGGGCTGCAATATAGCCCGGCCATAAATATGGTCTAATGGCTGAACGTGGTTTCCGGGACCTCTCCATGGTGATCCTCATCCACGTGGTGTCTCTTTGTGTCACAGGGTGTTTATTGCTTGTGTGCTGTCCTGGTTGGGTAAAACAAGATACCTAACTATTCTTTATCTTCTTCATGTCGCTGTTGGCACATAAGGCACTCACAAGTGATCTCCATTGCTGCCGGTCTGCTGCTTTTCTGCCCATGGTATCTTATGTCAGTTTCCATTCCTTCATTACCCGTTCTACTGTCCTTCTCCAGGTTTCCTTAGGTCGTCCACGTCTCCTTTTCCTATCTGCTGTCCACCGGAGAGCTGTTTTTGCCAGAGTATCACAAAGCATTCTGCAAACATGTCCAAGCCATCTTCATCGTCTTACTTTTATAACATTTGCCAGTGATGCACATTCTGTTTTCCTCCTCAGCTCTTCATTTATGATCTTGTTTAGCCCAAATTTTCGTAGAATTCTTCTTAAACATTTTTCAAGTCTCAAGTTTGTGTGTAATTTCCTCTGTCATTTTTCAACATTCACTGTTGTATAATATTCCCAAAATTGTGCTCTTGTATATTCTGTCTTTAAACTAAATCCCTTTGACTTCCATATATTGTTAATTGTAAGCATGGCAAATGCTTGATTTCCTTTGTTTATTTTTGATGTTACATCCTTTCATGTTGCCTGTGTGTTTCAGCTAATGGAGAGATTACTTCCAACACGGACGGAAGGTTCATCTGTACAGACAAGATTCGAGCCATGGTGACCGCCACCGACAAACACAACCCACCGATAGGGCCTTATAGAGTGGATTTTACCTTCAATCGTAAGTCAGAGCCTTATGATTTGCTGCTATGTCATCTTCTTCTTGTTTGTTCACCGGCGGTAAGCCCCGGGTTGTTCGTCCATTGCGGCTTTGTGCCAGAGTTTTGCGAGTACTTCCGTTTTTACTGGGTTATTCGTGTGCAGTTGGTTGTTGCTTGCCGCACGGGCAGAGGCGCTCCAACTTCGAAAGAAGTCCTCAATTAGTCGACTTTTACGAATTTCTTGTTGAGAAGGCAGTGGGTCTATTCTTGTTTTTCTCATAATGGGGTCCCAGAACCCACACGGGGAGCAGCTATATCATGAAAAAGATCGAATAAACTATTACTGTAAACTATTACTGCTGCATTTACTACTGCTTCTGTTACTAATACCGCTACTGCTACTATCACTGCCGCTGCAACCACCACCACCACTACTGCTGCTACTAGTTACAACCACTGTTACTTCTTCTTTTTCTCCTTATTTCCCCCACCCCTCCTTTTCTTCCTCTCCATTCTTTGAAAAGTACAAGCGGTCAGCTTCCCAATATCATAAACGCCAAGTGAACTTGCGGCTATAGTGCTTTTATCAGCACATTAAATCTACAGTACCATAAGAACGAAAACACAATTGCACAAAATCACTTAGCTGATGTATCTCCGATAGAAATCCTGTCATGTCTGACCAGTAGAATATCTGAAATGTGTGTCGCCACCGGAAGTAAATACCAAGCTGAAAAAGCCGCCTGCGGCAATGCATATTTTAACCACTTGATTCTTTAGCATGAAAGGACTCTAGGGTCAAGAACCATTAACGGCACAACAGGAAAATAAATAAAATAATGCAACGAAACATTACAAAATCGCACAGTCTATATTTAAGGTGTTGATTGGGGCAAACATAGCTGACTAAAGGCTATAGCGTTTACTATCTGATGCGGCAAGGTTAAGATGGGTTGGGCGATAAATAGGGTCTGAATCTGCTGGAGACGTAAAGACTTTACTCCTGTCTCAGTACATAAGCACCAAACCCACGACGACTATATGGTACTCTGGTTGTACAGTCAAACTCAACTACATCCGCAATTAGGTTGCTTTGTAATTGACAGGAGCCCCAGTATGAATAGTTCGAATAGTGACACGTTGGGTCACATGGTGGTAATGACTCTATAAGCGGCCCTAGTAGGGTTCAGCTTCATAAAATGACTGAGTTATGAAGCTCTCGCTGGTTATCCAGGCTGTGGGGAAAAACAGGCATCGGGATATGCAAGACAGGTTCTGGAACTTCGCATCCCTGGTAAGGCATGTTAGGTTGCAACCGGATGTAACAACGGGACACACTAACTGGCTGAGACTAGGTGTGTAAACCTTTCAAGATTTAGCACACGTGGTAAGAACAAGTAAAGGACCAATGTCCACGTCTGCAGGTGTGTTAGGCATATAGGACAAGACCTATATTTGATTGACCAATCGGCATTCGGTGGGTGATGTGGTTAACATATATGCCGGTCGCCTTTACTTTCCAAGACTCCACTTGGTACACAGAGCAGACACCCCGCTGCATAATCCTCTACAGTTATGAGTTTTCATAATTCCCTATTTTACCTGTTACCTGGTCCCACAGGCGGGACATCACCCACTGCCTTGTGCAGTTGCAGTAAACACCCAAGTGGGGCCAATGGGCGAGTGGGTCACCGGTCGAGTATGTGGCTGTGAGCAGTCATCCCATGAATGCCACAGAGTCCGGTGCTTTATTAATATCCTACCTACAGATGACGCCACAGGTCAGTCCAAAATTTTAGAGGGTGGTAAGACTGGGTACCCGGCTTTCTGAGGCTTTTAACGACACTTAAACATCTAGAACTGGCCCTAACCCCAACCCACCTACTTCTCACAAGAGAGTGCAGTCTAGGCCCTACGACTACATGCAGCCAAGGTCCCACGACTGCATGCAGCCAAGGTCCCACGACTGCATGCAGCCTATCTACCACCGTCTGAAACATTAGACTGCCTATTGACCTGTGCATTTCCCCTGTTTGGGGTAGGATATTGATAAAACATCCACAGTCCTTCTCAGGATCACTTGCTGGTGAGCAGTTATCAGCCATGAATATGGAGCAAAAAAAAAAAAAAAAACACACACACACACACAGACCATAAATACATCTAAATGCCCTGGCAGCTTCGCTGCTAGGAGCATGTTGATCGTGGTCGACTTTTTATTTTTTGTTCTTTTCTTGTACTTCACCCCTTCTCAGTGCGCTACAAGATTTCGCGGCGAGTTCTCGGGAAAGTCCAATATTAAAGGAGATGGGGGTGAGGGGATAAGGGTAAGTTTTAGTCGGTGTTCATTTCACACCTTAACACTCCTATACTATAGGACTTTCCTGGGGATTCCCCATAAAATCTCGGATGTCCCGAGATAGGGTGAGAAAAAAACACACCATATGTGGTTCTAATATGGCGACTATGTGTGTATAATTGCAGCGACGAACACAGTTCCCTATGTATCTAACCTTGACGCCACTGTCACCATCAACGAGAATGTCGGGGTAGGGTTCACGGCCTATGACATTAAGGTGATTGATCCTGTAGAGTCATCTCGACTGACAGTGACCATGAGATCACAAACTGACTCCGGCATGGAACAATATACGTTTGAACCCAACGGCAAAGGTGAGATTACGTGCAGCCTTATGTCCGGTAGATTTCATGAATGTGTTTTAGATGGGGAACGTGGTAAGTAAAAGTAGAGGACCCTTCTTCATGCTTTTAGGCATATTGGGCACAGGAGGCTAGACCCATATTTTATAGACCAATCGGCATTCGGTGAGTGATGTTGTCAACATCACACCGGTCGCCTTTACTTCCCAGGACTCCAGTTGGTGCTGGAATACGTGCAGATTACATGCAGCCTTATGACCGGTACATTTCTTGAATATGATTTGTGTGAGGGATGTAGAGTTATTGACTGTGACCAGTGCACAGGCAGAAACTGTTCAAAACATATTTACACCTGTCCTTGGTCATCATAGAAACAGATTCCATACCAGGAGCTTGGCCAGTGTAGATAAGATCAACCGTTCCACGTTCTAGGGCATCAACTTCAGAGACAGCTAGCCAGTAGTCTACACACAAATAAGCTAGATCTGTAAAACTGATGTGCACACAATGCTGAAGTCCTGGAGCAAGACACGAATCTTGAAGTGGAAGAACAGCCGGGACTTCGAGTTTACAGCCAAGTAAATGCGAAGAAGAAGAAGAAGAAGAAGAAGAAGAAGAAGAAGAAGAAGAAGAAGAAGAAGAAGAAGAAGAAGAAGAAGAAGAAGAAGAAGAAGAAGAAGAAGAAGAAGAAGAAGAAGAAGAAGAAGAAGAAGAAGAAGAAGAAGAAGAAGAAGAAGAAGAAGAAGAAGAAGAAGAAGAAGAAGAAGAAGAAGAAGAAGAAGAAGAAGAAGAAGAAGAAGAAGAAGAAGAAGAAGAAGAAGACGATGAAGAAAGTGAAAAAAAAAATGATGGGGATAAATAATAATAAGAAGAAGAAAGAGAGGTGGAGAGGTAAAATAGTAGTAGAAGAACAACCAACTAATGAACGAACGAACGTTTTTTTTCAAAGGGTTACTTTTTGGGCACGAGTGTGACTATCATTCTCTACTCATCTGTAATTACTTAGGGACTCTACCCCACTATGACCACCTAAATGTGACCTAGCCATCTGAGACTTCGAAGACTGACCCCTGAGACAATTGTAGTGAAGCCTTCTGCTTTCAATAGCTCAGTGTTAGTTGTTCTGTCATCTATGGACTGGAGAAACATCATCAATGCCATACCAAAGACTAAACGCTGTGAGGCTTTCAGTTTCGTGGAGCATGACTTGTCACTGAATTGAACTGCATACCCTGTGGCTACCGACTGGATCAGCAAGACAGGAAAACCAGACGTGAGCCACTCGTCTTTACATCTACCAGAATGGGAGTTTTTTGTCTAAAAACACTTGGGGACTTAGGAGGCGATCGGATCACTTATGGTCATGTCCGATGTGCGATAAACATAAGTCTTTCAGTCTATTAGTCTGGTAGTCTTAGTTTCAGCTTCACAGCAAACGGGTCACCATATCTTTGCTCCGCTCCTGTGCCAACGAAAAACACACATAATGTTTATCACAGTCCCTTGTGGAAAGATTGACAGACTGCTGTCTCAGCATATCTAGAATACGCATGCATTAAAAGCATACGGTAGCCATCCGAAGTGCTAACACAGACAGTCCAACATTAGAAATGCAGTTCATCATTGATGATAGCAGAACTTGTCGCCAACAGATCAGCAGTTGCCCACGCGATCAATTTTAATCACATACGGGCACCGACAGACATCGCGCCACTTTCTGAATCTACTATTCACACCACCACGCTGGTCCATTTGAAAAAAACATTCCAAATTCAATCCGCAGCTCACAGTGTCACGCCATGCATTCAACTCAGAAGCTGTGCGACGAAACTATATCCAGTCTACAAATGGAGCAAAAATGCATCGGCCACCGTCCGTCAGAAGCAAAAAATTTGCCTCTGCTTCGAACAGTGCCGCTGCCTAGCGTCCATTTTAACCGGAAATGCGATAAAGATGATTTTGAAATGAACAGTGAATAATGTTGTCCTGCCACTTAATGCCAAGCAGTCTTCTTAGTCGTTGACTTTGAAAGCTATTGAGCCGTTTCTCCCGGTACCAATAACTCGACCATGCGTCACTGCCCCAAAGAAGAGTGTCTAATTTAAGTGACTCGATATTGTTACGCTTCGTGAGTTTCAAGCAAATCGTCTTGTTTCCTAAGCCATTTTACTGCTTTGTCATCAGACAGATACTGTAGAGTTTTGGGAAGTCCCATTCTGGTCTCAGAAACTCAGCAAAGTGAAAACCCAACTGTGCATCCAATTGGTAGTGGATGGTAAATACACTGCAGTGTGGCCAGCGCAGCTATAGGAACTGAGTATCTAGTGGGATAAGTGGACATCTCAGGCGTTAGCAGGAATATCACAGATCAGGGCACTGACCTGCCCTAGCAATTCAAAAGGTTGCTGAAGGCTGAGGACATAGTCTAAAATCACGTGAATGTTGAAGTTTAAGGTTTGAACAACAGATCAACATCATGGCAGACGTGTAGTAACCCTTAAGTGCCCCGTTCTTCTTCTAACTCAAGTCTGAGTCCGAAGAAGCTCAGCACAGTGCACAGGCTCTGTAGCACCGGCGTGGATCCTGAAATTCTTTGGGTAGATTTTAAACTCCTAATTTTGCCCAGGCAGCCCTGTTAGGCTACTCTTTTCGATTTCCAACTGTCAAGGGATTCTTTACGTGCGCAACAATGCACATGGGCGTCTGATCTCACTACCCAGAGACCAGGGGGAATTACTAGAAATCAAAGTCCACGTTATAAAATTCCAGCCCTTACCGGGGATTGAGCCCGGAAGCTCTAGCACTAGAGGCATACACAATGACTTGAGACCACGCCGCCCCTACGTAGATGTGCAAAGCAAGGGGAAACTAACACATTATTGTCTGAAAAAACTTATCAGGGAAGGCAAAAACAAACACATGTATTCTTACAGATCAGAAGAAATAAACAGCATCTTGTCTCGGAATCTGAAATATTTTGGCTATATGATGAGCCATGGCGGATTGCAAACAGTTATAACAGAGGCTATTATAAGGGGACCACGAATGAGGAGCAGAAGCCGACCAGCACGAAGATGGGCACAGGATACATGTGAGTTCCTGAATATGAAAGCACAGGAGGTGGGAGAGCTGGCAAGAGACCGAGTTTCTTTCAGCGCACTGTGGTGACAGCGACGTTCTGCAATGGACCTGCTTCATGATGATGATGATGATGATAATGATGATGATGATCAGACACCTCCAATTAAATGTCTTCTACTTCAGCATTACAAGCTCTTGAGGTTAACCACGACCGATTGTACAGGCCTGCACTCGTCTCTGTGACCGACCTTCTACGTCCCGTTGGTCACTCTAAGTGCGTGTAGGTCTGTCTGTTTACGATCTTTACATCATGCTCTACACGCCCATTCATCTCTTGTGTGTACAGAATGTTATAGCTAGCTCTAATTCTAACTGACATGTACGTATCCGCCAGGTGGGACAGTGAAGACAAAAAGAAACCCAAACTTTGAGCAAAAAGACACCCAGCGCGTCACTCTCTACTTTGACGTCGATGATGGCTTCTGCAAAGCTAACAAGACTTATTCACTGACAATCAACACTGCAGACGTCAACGAGCAGCCGACTTTATACCCAAGTACCCTCCAGAGCTTGGAGGTGTACGAAGGATATGTAAGACATTAATAATATCTTTTTGTTTAGTCTTTTCTCTTTAGATTTCTATTGTGTAGCTTGACATCTCACGGATGGGATGTTAGCGTCCTAAGGAAATGTTTTTTTATATCATAAAGGTGAGTTGGGAAACTAACAGGCAGATTGACTCACTGGTTCTGCACCACTTGGAAGTGAATTGACATATGACAAACTAGAGGGCCTTTTAGGAGCGAGTGAACAGTGCGGAGGCACAAATAGATCATTACGATTTCTGGAGAACGGCGCTGGAGGGAGTTACCAGATGATTCGGTCGACGACGCTCAACACTCAAGTTAAAGGCGAGACAGGTGTACAATCAGATAGTTACTGGTACCATCGGAATTGGAACTCTTTGCTTGCTGCTAAAGATGGTGACGGAGAGATTGTGGGAGTGTCCCTACGGCTATATTGCGGATTCTTAATTCAACATTCAACAAAGGGTGAGAACTAACAATCTGCAAATCCCGAAAACCCTGTTTAATCGTAAAGCTATATAACACATTTGCGAGGGACGGTCAAAAGTAATGCCTCCTAATATATAACTGTATTCAATAGACAAGAAAACAGGTAAATTTCAAAATGAAACGTAGCCACAGTGTCGGACAGCGCCCACGTCAACTACTGAATAACAGGTAAATTTCAAAATGAAACGTAGCCACAGTGTCGGACAGCGCCCACGTCAACTACTGAAAAACAGGTACATTTCAAAATGAAACGTAGCCACAGTGTCGGACAGCGCCCACATCAACTACTGAATAAGCCTTAGCGTAGGACAGCGCTAACATGCACTGTTGAATTAGCCCCAGCTCCAGACAATGCTTACATCCGCTGTTGTATTATCCCCAGCTTCAGACAGCGCTAACGCCTACTGTTGAATTAGCCCCAGCGTCGGATAGTGCTCATATCTACTGTTGAATTATCCCCAGCGTCAGACAGCCCTAAAGCCTACTGTTGAATTAGCCTCAGCGTCTGACAGTGCTCACATCCACTGTTGGATCAGCCTTAGCGTCTGACAGTGCTAACATCCGCTGTTGAATTAGCCCTAACGTCGAACAGTGCTAACATTCACGGTTGGATCAGCCCCAGCGTCCGACAGTGCTTACATCCACTGTTGAATTAGCCCCAGCGTCGGACAGTGCTAAAATTCACGTTGAATTAGCCCCAGCGTCCGACAGTGCTTACATCCACTGTTGAATTAGCCCCAGCGTCGGACAGTGCTAAAATTCACGTTGAATTAGCCCCAGCGTCAGAAAGTGCTAACATCCACTGTTGAATTAGCCCCAGCGTCAGAAAGTGCTAGCATCCACTGTTGAATTAACCCCAGCGTCAGAAAGTGCTAACATCCACTGTTGAATTAGCCCCAGCGCCAGAAAGTGCTAACATCCACTGTTGAATTCGCCTTAGCATCGCACAGTGCTCACATCCACTGTTAAATCTTCTTAAACATTCTTCAATCGTTCTTGGATGCGAACTGGGGTCTTGCCTTCTTCATTGAAGAATTATATGCTATGACGTTAATTTTAACCGAACGTCCGTTACATTGGTGCCACCTTTTGCTGAAACAGGTTGTTACCAGTGTTGCCACTTTTCTTTGACAAAAAAGATCCAAAACGGGGTTAAAAAATATCTAAAAAGATCTAAAATTGCGTGGAAAATATTTAAAAAAAATATCCAAATGAAAAGAGTCACAAATTACAAAACTATTGAAATGACTTACCCTATAGACACATGTCCTCATCTTCACTGATGTCTGCTTCACAAGATCCACAGGATAAACTTAGCTTGGATGATGAAGTTGAAGCTTCAGATCCCAAATTACTCTGGTATGCTTTAGCTGTTCCTATTTCTTTTAATACACAATCAGGGAGCTGATAAGTGGAACAGCATTTTCCTACTCTCATCAGGCCAAACCTTATTGTCAAGATAGCATTTAAGAGGTCTAATTTCATCCTGTTTCTTAGGTTAGATTTGATGTAATTCATAGCACTGAAAACTCTTTCTACGTCAGCATTTGAGGGGGGTAGTATCATGGCAGACATGGCACATTCAAAGAGTTTACAGAATGGACTGTTCGATGAGGCATCTTTAAATTGTCTCACTTCACTCCAAAACGCTTGTTTCTGTTTTGTTTGTCCATTCAACTAAGTTTATTTTGGTTAACTGATATTCTGCTTCCGCGACACTATTGTCAGTAGCCCCTAAAAATTTCATAACTTTACAATATTTAGGTATGTCCTTTACTGGCTGAAGTATGTTGCTCACAGAAAAGAGTGAAATATGTTTCAAAACATCTAGATTTTCAGGAAGTCTCTGCTTTAGTTGCTTGAACAATGAGATAAGGAAATCTTGACAGCGTTTTCTTAAGTTGTTCTCTTCATTCTCTGTTAACAGTCCTTTTGTTTTTAAATCATCAATTTTTGATTCAATTTGATATCCAAGGTATGGCTTAGGAGCCAAATAGCTCTCTATAGTGCAAGTGAGCAAATAAACTTTTGAAGTTGGTAACACCAGTCTTTTACCAACTGAGTAAAATAGCAAAGTGAGATCGTCAAGTAATTTAACTTTATCAACATGTTTGGATTCGAACAGTTTATTAACTTTTTGCACTTCCATTAGAATAGGTTGTAAAAAAGAGAAGGAATGCCACATTTTTTACATCACTGTACATTTCATATAGTATCTCAGCTGTGTAGCACTTTTCACTTTGTCTTATTATTTCAAAGTGTGTCTTTAACTCCAACCATTGGTTCAGAATTCTTTCAACAGCTGGTTGTATTGATAACCACCTGGTTTTGCAATCTGACAGAATTTTCAGTGGTGTGGAACCATTATTTAAGGCTGAATACAATGCATTGTATTGCTGTTGTCTGACAAATGATTTTGAAAACCAGTTATGTGTTTCAGCAATAAGGTATTCCAAATTCCTTGGTAAACATTCAGATGAAGCATGTGATAATGCTAGCTGCAATGAATGACACATACATTTTATAAGTATTAACGATGGGATAGCTTCCTTCAACTTGGCATAAACGCCATTGTTTATGCCAACCATCACTGAGGCATTATCGGTACCAATTGCAACAAAATTTGTCAAGTCTAACTGTTTGCTGATTAAAAGGTTCTTCAGTTCTTGAACTATACTTTCTGCATCACACTTTTCCAATTGAACTAGTCCAAGATATGTAGAAACTACTTTGTCTGTATTGTTGCTGTAATATATAATACACACACCAAGCACTTTCAGTACCGAAATATCATTTGATTCGTCTAATAATAAACTATATCTATTTGTAGAAATATCACTGATCAAATCTTTTTCGAAGTGAGAAAATAAAGTATTTCTTATAATATGTGTACACTTGCTGTGATGCATTTTCTCATCATCCATAACTTTACTGTCAGAAATTATGTTTTTAAACAAATCAATCAAATGGTCACAGTTTGAAATTGCACAATGACAACTTAAAAACATTGCGACCGACCCTTCAACTTTTGATTATTCATTTATCAGTGTACTTCTGAAAACAGATGTCAGCGGTGTAATATCTTTGAATGGAACTGCAGTTTTATGCTTGTTAGTCTCTGCATGCTTCTTTAAGTCTTGTATTTTCGCTTTAATTTCACCCTTGCAGTACTTACAACGAGCCTTGGTTATATTCCCAGGAACTGCCATCACCCAGTCTTTAATTTTGTCATCATGCAAATACTCTTTCCGAAATTTTTGCTCATACTTCACTTTTGGCATGTTGAAAGGTTTTTTCAAAGTGAAAGCCACACAAGAAGGTGAGCAATTATTTTTTTAAAAATCACATGAAAAAGAAACACAAAGTCAGCATCACAGCTATACTTCACAACACAGTGAGGATACGGTTGAAACAAAGTTAGTATGATTTACGCGCGATTTCGATTAATCAGCACCGGGGTTGTCAGATATTTGAGTGTTGACCTTAGTGAGATTTCAAAGTTTAAGTAATGGCAGTTGCCACAATGTACGTGCCAGACCAAAACAAAAATATTTTATAAATATTTTACTCAATAATTATTAAAATGACACTAAAAGAAAAAAAATCTATAAAATATCTAACTCCATATGAGAAATATCTAGAAAAATATTTAGTATCTAAACGTCAAAAATAGGATCTAAACGCAATGAAAAAGATCTAAATTTGGATACAAAATATCCAAAGTGGCAACACTGGTTGTTACTGAGTATTACAGTGCAGAAAAGTGTTTGGGGAATCCCGCTAAATTTACAGATAGCACACCGACACGGCATTTACATAGATTACAAAAAGAAATGAGTCATTTACTTTGTCACCGTCCCTCGTTTATTTGTGCACGAAAAAATGATTACGAACTAACCTGTAGCTTAGAGTGGGCGGGTTGTTGTGGTGGTGACTTGAGTGGGCGGATTGTTGTGGTGACTACAGTGGGTGGGTTATGATGGTGACTTGAGTGGGTGGGTTGCTGTGGTGGTGACTAGAGTGGGTGGTTTGTGATAGTGACCAGAGTGGGTGGGTTGTGGTGTTGATTAGAGTGGGGAGGAGGATTGTGATGGTGACTAGAGTGGGTGGTTCGTGGTGGTGATAAGAGTGGGTGGATTGTGGTGGTGACGAGTGGGTATGTTGTGGTGGTGACGAGTGGGTATGTTGTGGTGGTGAATAGAGTGAGTGGATTTTGGTGGTTACCACAGTTGAGGGGGTGTTTGTGATGATGAATTGATTGGGTGGGTTTCTGTGTTGATTAGAGTGGGTGGGTTGTGATGGTGTCTAGAGTTGGTGGTTTGTGGTGGTAATTAGAGTGGGTGGATTGTTTTAATGACGAGTGGGTATGTTGTGGTGGTGATTAGAGGGGGTGGATTGTGATGGTGACAATGGACTATGTGGATGCCTTTATTCTTTTTTTTTTTATACCAAGGGAACTGGGCTAGGGAAATAGCCCCAAGGTCTGTGACATCTATAAGATTGATATGATCAAAAGCTAATTATTGTCGCAATTTCACATCCATCCAAACCCAAAACTGGTTTTAGTACTTCTGGTAAAGTAAAACACTCACAATTTGAACTCTTTGAGGCCCAAGGAACGCATCACACGTTCATAGGTTCCTACCTAGAAGCCCAATGAACGGATGATGGGCCAATTTTATTGCTTTCTTTACTACCCACTTGGCCTGTGACGCTAAACCCCCTGGAGCTCAAAGAGTTGAAACAATAAATTGTGGTCTGAAAGGACGTTATGTTAAGAATAGCTGCGAACTAGCTCTGTTTCTTTTGAGAAACGCCTGGCCAAACTAGAAGGGAACAGATTATGGAACACATCGGAGGACATAAGAACAAAATAATAAGAAGAATGAAACGTACCCAGGATAACCCACGATCAAGGGGGAAAAATCAGAAAGATAAGAAAAACAGGAACACATTGGGACAGACAGGAAGGAGCTGGGGTACATATCCCAAGTTTAGCCACTCAAGTGACACAAACAAACCAGACCACAAATATAACCGGAGACTGTTGGCAGCTCGCTGCGGGTTGAACGTGGTCGTGTTTTGGAATTTTTGTTTCTAGAATGGAACTGGAACTACAGTGAATATATGTTTTCCAATTGCCTTTGGCGACCAGTGTATAAGGGTCGTTCCACCAAAAAGGGGCCGCGACCCACAGGTTGAGAACTAGTGTAGATGCTAACTATTGCCGTAGCACACTGATTATACAGGCGTTGTTTTCCTCTCCTCACACACCCCTCCTTGCCGGTTCTACTCCTAATTTCTTTTTCACTCATTCTTCTTCTTCGTCTTCTTCTTCTCTTCCACATTTTTCCTCATCGAAGTGGGGGGGGGGGGGGTGGGGGGGGGGGAGATGTAATGTTCGTTGATGAGCTCTGTCAAGAGCACTTTTAGGACTGATGTTTATTTCTGTAAGGCTGTTCTTAATGCCATCACTCCATATTTTTCCGAGGTCTTCCATTCGCTCTATACCCATTGTAACGTTTTAGTGTGGCTCGCTGTGGCGGATAGTACTAGGGCATTCTTGTTAGGTGTCCAAACCACTTCATTTGTTGTTCTTTGATGACCTGTAAGACTAGCTTTATTCCTAGCATTCGTCTGATTTCATGATTTCGTATTCTGTCTTTCCCTGAAACTCCTGCAGCTCTTCTAAGGCATTCCATCTCTGTTGTCACAATTTTAGGTTCATTGGAGGATGTAAGTGTCCACGTTTGGCATTGATAGCATAGTGTTGGCCAAAAAAATACTTCTGATAAGATTCACCTATTCTAACACATTTAATTTCATCTGGATTGAAAAACCTATATTCACTGTAGTTATGAAGTAGTAACGGAAATAATTTTATGGTTGCGGGACACTCAACATGAGGTACTGTATTAAAGGGTCACAGAAATCGATCAGGAAACCATCAGCCCCAGCACAAGACGACTATTTTATTATTGACAGATCAAGTTATTATCCTCCGCCTCAGAACAGGGCCCAACCAATTACGTAACCACATTTACACAAAATTCAAGATAGGCGTATCAGCCATGTGCACCTGTGGAAAGGTCTGACTGGCTGACTTTCTACCCCACCAGGACATCACACAAGCGATAAACACCCGATGACACTAAAGTGCCACCATGTTGATGAGGATCGCCATGGAGAGGTACCAGAAACCGCGTTCAGACATTTGGACATATTTATAGCATGCCTATATTACGGCCCCTGGCAAGAGCCAGAGTGGGGCTTCAAATAAAGAAAAATTTTGTCCTTAAAAGGACGCGCTATATATAACTGTGGAAAGGTGCCCCAGACAGCAAAGCATGTACTCCAGGATTGCATCGAATTTGACAAAATAAGGCAAACCTTTGGCCAGAAAGAACAACAGTGGAACGTAAACTCTATGGACCACTGAATGAACTAACAACAACAGTGAAATTTATACACAAGAAAAAATTGCTGATATAGACAACTTATTTCAGGCGAACGAAAGAAGAGAAGAAGAAGAAGAAGAAGAAGAAGAAGAAGAAAAAGAAGAAGAAGAAGAAGAAGAAGAAGAAGAAGAAGAAGAAGAAGAAGAAGAAGAAGAAGAAGAAGAAGAAGAAGAAGAAGAAGAAAGGGTGGCGGCATTAGAACGTTTGAGAACCACTGATGTACACCTTATGCCATTTGCTGCGGGAGACGGAGCATCTATGGATATGCCCTGTGTGCTATGATGTCGATTCTTAAACCAGTAATCAGTAAACTATCTGATCAAGTGTCGTTTTAAAAAAAATCTTTATCTTTTCCGTTTCTACTACAGATAAACATCCCAACGGGACTTCAAATATTTGATGAGGACACCAACGACAAGTGTACATTCTCCTCAGCTGGCGGATCGAAAGAATTCGCCGTTGATAAAGACACTGGCAACATTTACTCTGTAGGAGAAATAGATATTGACAAGGCACGTTATCATCGTCATCTTCATGGCAATCAGTCAAATTATAATATTATCATCGACAACATAATCATTATCCTTACAGTCATCATCGTCTTCGTCATTGTATCATTATTATCATCATGCTTATCAGTCGTCATTGACGTCGTCGTCATGATAATTATTATCAGCCTAATTAGGATCATCATCGTTGTCGTCATCATTCTCATCATTATCATCACTATCAGTTTGATTATCATTATCATTGTCATCCTCGTTACCACCACCTTAATCAATAATTATCATGCTTTTCAGTCATCATCACCATCCTTATCTTCCTCCTAGGTCTTGTCATCATTACCAATTTGATTATCCTGTCATCATCATTATAGTTGTCATCCTCATTTTTATTATCATTATCATCCTGATCAGTTATCATAATCGTGATCATCACGATCATCACTATTATTATCATCCTAATTATGACCATCATCGTCGTCGTCAACGTAATCATCATCATCATCATCATTTGCATTGTCAGTTTTATTATCATAATAATAATCATCATGATAGTCATCATCCCCATCCTTATTACTATCATCATCCTTATCAATCATCAACATTGTCGTCGCCATGGTTACAATGATTCTACTGGTGCATTAAGAACCTGGTCGTTGCCTAGTGTTCAGAGAGCAGACGAGACAGAGATTCTCTCCAATCATCTCCCGCAACTCCTCCACTCAACCGTCGACACCGGCGGATGACAGTTTCCCGTTTAATTATCTCTGAGTCATGACGTTGGGTTGGGAAATTAACAGGCGGACAGATTGGCTGGCTCTGCACAACTTGATTGAATATTAATGCATGATAAGGCAGACGTGGGTTAGGGCTTTGTGGGAAAACTAGTACCATTCGAAGAAGCAAATGGACCACCACATTCTGGTGAGAGCTTTGCAGCGGGGAGTGACGAGAAGATGTGACCTATACACGACGCTCAGATGAAAGGCAAGACGAACTTACAATCAGAATGCTACTGATACCATTGTTTTAGGAACTTAGCGCTGGCTGCTGAAGACAGGGACGGAGCGCTTATGAGAATGCTCCGAGTGCTGTGATGTCGGTTCTCGAATCATCTCAACTTAACTGATCACAACAGAGCTACGAAAGACCGTCCTCCGGTTTTCTGTTGTGTTTTTTTCTCTTGATATTCAACAATATTCGCTGCTTAAGATGAGTTCAGTGCCCATATGGGAATATCCCGAGTACTGTGATTGATTGTCATTGTAACAGACTCATAGAGCATGTTGAGAAAGGTGGAGACAGGCATGCTGCGTGCAGAGTGGCAAGCATGACTTCAAAGATCCCGGGTAGTTAGCATCCTTTGGATATTTTTTCAGAAATGCCAGTGTGTCGGGAAATGGGCGGGCGGTTAGATTGGGCGGTCCGGCCCCACTTGGTGGTGAACTGATGTATGGCCAGCTGGATGGTGTGATGGCCTTTTTTGAGCGAGTGAACAGTGCCGAGGCACAAACAGATCATTACGGTCTGAATAGAATGGCACTGCGAGGAGTTACAAAAGAATCTGGTCGACGCTCGACACTCAAGAAAAAGCGAAACGGATATACAATCAGACAGTTACTGGTACCATGGGAATTTTAACTCTTTGCTTGCTGCTGAAGATGAGGACGGAGCGTTTATGGGGGTGTCGCGAGTGCTGTGATGTTGATTCCTAATTTAACATTTAACATTCTACTCATGATATTGACATTATGTATATTGTTATATGAACAAACATGCTTTTATAATAAAAAGGCCAAATTTAAGACTGGCATGCGTGTCCAATTTGTGGCGCTTTAAAAAAAAACTCCCTTGTTTTGTGACATGAATGTTCATTACTTTCTGTGTATATTTCAGAACACGCCATTTAAGAAATTCAATCAAATGGTCAAATGTACTGACGAAGGTGGCAAGACTACGACGTCCAATCTCGACGTCGTTGTCTATGACGCCAACGATCAGTACCCCATCTTCAACAGTAACTCCTTCACGTTCGCCGCCACAGAGTGCACGCCCCTAGGAACTGAATTAGGTATTTTCGCAGTACTGTCCGGTTGTGACTCTCTCCCAATATTTGGTTGTGACTCTCTCCGACTGACTGTATCTTTCTCCCTCCCATTATTTGGTTGTGACTCTCTCCCAATATTTGGTTGTGACTCTCTCCGACTGTCTGTTTCTTACTCCCTCCCATTATTTAGTGGTGACTCCCTCTCACTGTTTGGTCATGACTCCCTCTCACTGTTTGGCTGTGACTCTCTATAACTGTCTGGTTGTGACTTACCTTTTGGTTGTGACTGGCTGTTTGGTTGTGACTGGCTGTTTGGTTGTGACTGGCTGTTTGGTTGTGACTCACCGACTGTTTGTGACGCTCACATCACCAGATACATACTGTGAATTTCTAACTGCCTGTTTTTTGTTCAGATTTCTGTACCATATGATAGAGTCAACTATACTTTTCATTTAACAGGAAGTCGTGAAGGGGGTGAACTGTAGCGGGGTGAAGAGAGTGGACTGTAGCGGGGTGAAGAAAGTGGACTACAGCGGGTGAAGAGAGGGGACTGTAGCGGGGTGAAGAAAGTGGACTACAGCGGGTGAAGAGAGGGGACTGTAGCAGGGTGAAGAGAGTGGACTGTAGCGGGGGTGAAGAGAGTGGACTGTAGCGGTGTGAGGAGAGGGCACTGCAGCGGGGTGAAGAGAGGGAACTGTAGCGGGATGAAAAGAGTGGACTGTAGCGGGGGTGAAGAGAGTTAAATGTAGCGGGGTGAAGAGAGGGGACTGTAGCGGGGTGAGGAGAGGGCACTGCAGCGGGGTGAAGAGAGGGAACTGTAGCGGGATGAAAAGAGTGGACTGTAGCGGGGGTGAAGAGAGTTAAATGTAGCGGGGTGAAGAGAGGGGACTGCAGCGTTGGTGAAGAGAGTGGGATGCAGCGGGGGTAAAGAGAGGTAGACTGCAGCGTTATTAAAGAGAGTAGGCTGCAGCGGGGTGAAGGGAGTGGAGTGCAGCGGGGTTGAAGAGAATTGACTGCAGCGTTGGTGAAGAGAGTGGACTGTAGCGAGGGTGAAGAGAGGTGGACTGCAGCAAGAGTGAAGAGAAGTGGACTGCAGCGGGGTGAAGAGAGGGGACTTCAGCGGGGGTGAAGAGAGGGGACTGCAGCGGGGTGAAGAGAGGTGGACTGCAGTGGGGTGAACAGAGTGGACTGCAGTGGGGTGAAGAGAGGTGGACTGCAGTGGGGTGAAGAGAGTGGACTGCAGTGGGGTGAACAGAGTGGACTGCAGTGGGGTGAACAGAGTGGACTGCAGCGGGGGTGAAGAGAGTGAACTGTAGCGGGGGTGAAGAGAGTGAACTGCAGTGGGGTGAAGAGAGTGAACTGTAGCGGGGGTGAAGAGAGTGAACTGTAGCGGGGGTGAAGAGAGTGAACTGTAGCGGGGGTGAAGAGAGTGGACTGCAGCGGGGGTGAAGAGAGTGGACTGCAGCGGGGGTGAAGAGAGTGGACTGCAGTGGGGTGAAGAGAGTGGACTGCAGTGGGGTGAAGAGAGTGGACTGCAGTGGGGTGAACAGAGTGGACTGCAGTGGGGTGAAGAGAGTGGACTGCAGTGGGGTGAACAGAGTGGACTGCAGCGGGGGTGAAGAGAGTGAACTGTAGCGGGGGTGAAGAGAGTGAACTGCAGTGGGGTGAAGAGAGTGGACTGCAGTGGGGTGAAGAGAGTGAACTGTAGCGGGGGTGAAGAGAGTGGACTGCAGCGGGGGTGAAGAGAGTGGACTGCAGCGGGGGTGAAGAGAGTGGACTGCAGCGGGGGTGAAGAGAGGTGGACTGCAGCGGGGGTGAAGAGAGTGAACTGCAGCGGGGGTGAAGAGAGGTGAACTGCAGTGGGGTGAAGAGAGTGGACTGCAGCGGGGGTGAAGAGAGTGAACTGCAGCGGAGGGTGAAGAGAGTGGACTGCAGTGGGGTGAAGAGAGTGGACTGCAGTGGGGTGAAGAGAGTGGACTGCAGTGGGGTGAAGAGAGTGGACTGCAGTGGGGTGAAGAGAGTGAACTGCAGTGGGGTGAAGAGAGTGGACTGCAGTGGGGTGAAGAGAGTGGACTGCAGCGGGGGTGAAGAGAGTGGACTGCAGTGGGATGAAGAGAGTGGACTGCAGTGGGGTGAAGAGAGTGGACTGCAGTGGGGTGAAGAGAGTGGACTGCAGTGGGGTGAAGAGAGTGGACTGCAGTGGGGTGAAGAGAGTGGACTGCAGTGGGGTGAAGAGAGTGGACTGCAGCGGGGGTGAAGAGAGTGAACTGCAGCGGGGGTGAAGAGAGTGGACTGCAGTGGGGTGAAGAGAGTGGACTGCAGCGGGGGTGAAGAGAGTGAACTGCAGCGGAGGTGAAGAGAGTGGACTGCAGCGGGGGTGAAGAGAGTGGACTGCAGCGGGGGTGAAGAGAGGTGGACTGCAGCGGGGGTGAAGAGAGGTGGACTGCAGCGGGGGTGAAGAGAGGTGGACTGCAGTGGGGTGAACAGAGTGGACTGCAGCGGGGGTGAAGAGAGGTGGACTGCAGTGGGGTGAACAGAGTGGACTGCAGCGGGGGTGAAGAGAGGTGGACTGCAGCGTGGTGAAGGGAGTGGGCTGCAGCCGGGTGAAGAGAGTGGACTGCAGCGGGATAAAGGAAGTGGATTGCAACGAGGTGAAGAGAGGTGGACTGCAGCTGGGGTTAAGTGAGTGGACTGCAGCGGGCTGAAGAGAGTGGACTGCAGCGTGGTGAAGCGAGTGGACTGCAGCGGGGTGAAGAAAGTGGACTGCAGCGGGATGAAGAGAGGTGAACTGCAGTGGGGTGAAGAGAGTGGACTGCAGCGGGGTGAAGAGAGGTGGACTGCAGCGGGGTGAAGAAAGTGGACTGCAGCAGGGTGAAGAGAGGTGAACTGCAGTGGGGTGAAGAGAGTGGATGCAGCGGGGTGAAGAGAGGTGGACTGCAGCGGTGTGAAGGGAGTGGACTGCAGCGGTGTGAAGAGAGTGGACTGCAGCGGTGGTGAAGAGAGTGGACTGCAGCGGGGTTGAAGAAAGTGGACTGCAGCGGGGTGAAGGGAGTGGGCTGCAGCCGGGTGAAGAGAATGGACTGCAGCGGGATAAAGGAAGTGGACTGCAACGGGGTGAAGAGAGGTGGACTGCAGCTGGGGTTAAGAGAGGTGACTGCAGCGGGCTGAAGAGAGTGGACTGCAGCGTGGTGAAGCGAGTGGACTGCAGCGGGGGTGAAGCGAGTTTACTGCAGCGGGGTGAAGAGAGTGGACTGCAGCGGTGGGAAGAGAGTGGACTGTAGCGGGGGTTAAGAGAGTGGACTGCAACTGGGGTGAAGAGAGTGGACTGCAGCGGTGTGAAGGGAGTGGACTGCAGCGGGCTGAAGAGAGTGGACTGCAGCGTGGTAAAGCGAGTGGACTGCAGCGGTGTGAAGGGAGTTTACTGCAGCGGGGTTGAAGAGACTCGACTGCAGCGTGGTGAAGAAAGTGGACTGTAGCGGGGTGAAGAGAATGGACTGTAGCGGGGTGAAGAAAGTGGACTGTAGCGGGGTGAAGAGAGTGGACTGTAGCGGTGTGAAGAGAGTGGACTACAGCGGGGTGAAGAGAGTGGACTGCAGCGGGGTGAAGAGAGTGGACTACAGCGGGGTGAAGAGTGTGGACTGTAGCGGGGTGAAGAGAGTGGACTGCAGCGGGGGTGAAGAGAGTGGACTGTAGCGGGGTGAAGAGAGGGGACTGCAGCGGGGTGAAGAGAGTGGACTGTAGCGGTGTGAAGAGAGTGGACTGCAGCGGGGTGAAGAGAGTGGACTGCAGCGTTAGTGAAGTGAGTGGTCTGCAGCGGGGGTGAAGGGAGTGGACTGCAGTGGGAGTAAAGAGAGTTGACTGCAGCGTTGGTGAAAAGAATGGGCTGCAGCGGGGGTGAAGACAGGTGGACTGCAGCGTGAAGTGAAGAGAGTGCCCTGAGTGCTGTGATATCAGTATTTGACTCAACTTAACTTGCAGTCTATTCATATGTTCTATTATGTGTAATCACTTGGATATCATAGATGACATACGGTCTAGCACTTCCTGCCTCTTATCAACTTTTACCTTAGGGTTTGCCCTAGACGTCCTCGTTTCCCGCAATGCATCTACTTCACATTTCATTGCCTGTTAGCTGATTCTCTGCTCGTCTCTTCTCAGAATGTATCCTCTTCTTTTTCGTTCTTCTTCGCGTACACCGGCTGGAAACGCTTGCGGAAAGTTCTGGTTGTTCATCCACTTTTAGACTGCAGTCCTGTTTCAGAACCTGAATGTTGCATGTGCATTCGTTTTACCGACTCGAAGGAAGCTCCCAATTAGTTGACTCTTACGACATGCTATCATGCTTTTTAGTAAGCAGTGGGTCCACCTCCCCCCCCCCACCCCCCCACCCGAATAATAGGGCTCCTGAACTCACGTTCGCCGCCACAGAGTGCACGCCCGAGGGAACTGAATTAGCTATTTTCGCAGTACTGTCCGGTTGTGACTCTCTCCCAATATTTGCTTGTGACTCTCTCCTACTGTCTGTTTCTTACTGTCTTATTTATTAATACTGTGCATACCAGTTGTTGCTCAAACGTTTCTTACGAGTATTTCATCCTCTTCAACAATTCATCACCATTTATGTTCATCATTTCCCCCGGGCAATTGTTTTTAAACGCAGTTAATTATCCTTCCATATCTCTAGTGGTTCTTCAACTTCCACTGTGTATGTTACAATTGAAAAGGCATTAGAAACGACACTATGTAACTTGGTTCTAAACCTATATAATTTACAGTTCCATATCTCTAGTGGTTCTTCAACTTTCACTGTGTATGTTAAAATTGAAAAGGCATTAGAAACGACACAATGTAACTTGGTTCTAAACCTATATAATTTACAGTTCCAAATCTCTAGTGGTTCTTCAACTTTCACTGTGTATGTTAAAACTGAAAAGGCATTAGAAACGACACTATGTAACTTGGTTCTAAACCTATATAATTTACAGTTCCATATCTCTAGTGGTTCTTCAACTTTCACTGTGTATGTTAAAATTGAAAAGGCATTAGAAACGACACTATGTAACTTGGTTCTACACCTATATAATTTACAGTTCCATATCTCTAGTGGTTCTTCAACTTTCACTGTGTATGTTAAAATTGAAAAGGCATTAGAAACGACACAATGTAACTTGGTTCTAAACCTATATAATTTACAGTTCCAAATCTCTAGTGGTTCTTCAACTTTCACTGTGTATGTTAAAACTGAAAAGGCATTAGAAACGACACTATGTAACTTGGTTCTACACCTATATAATTTACAGTTCCATATCTCTAGTGGTTCTTCAACTTGCACTGTGTATGTTAAAATTGAAAAGGCATTAGAAACGACAATATGTAACTTGGTTCTAAACCTATATAATTAACAGTTCCATGTGGCGCGGTGATTTCGGTCACAGGCATTAGGGGAAGTTAAGTCTGATGTGATGTGTATAAGGAGATATTCCGTACCCCACTCGGGCGCCAGTACTTCACTGTTCTGGTTTTACGGAACCTCATGCAAGACTCCTGTTGCACGTCCCCGTCGTGCGCCACGGATAATGTCTCAAATGAGCGTTAACAGAGTTGGCAGGGGATCTCGGAGCTGGCGGCCCCCAGAGGTGTAGAGTCCTTTCTGGCTCTCACCAGCCCGCCCCCAAACGCATGGGTGAAAAGTAACAAAACTCAAGGACTGCTTGCTAAATGTACCATCAAATGACAACTCTTGGTTAAAATTCGGGAGCAAATGGAAAACTGTGCTGCTGAGACTCAACCCTGACCGAGAGATTTACCCGCAGCCAAGACGAGTAACATCTCTTGTGGGCGACTTCTCGCAGCAAGATCCCACCTACGTACATCCTCTGTCAATCCTCAGTGTCGTCGTCACCGCGCTGAGGTACACCATGGCAGCAACTATTCATATGCTGGCTTGAAAACAATGTCCGACAAAGTTACACCCCACGGCACACATGCAAGCTCAAAGTCCGACGATCATAACTCGTACCGATTAGGAAAAGTCTGAATGTCCGTATCCACTGGTCCAACTCGCCCGAGTGTTGGGACCAAACAGGTGAAGCCACGCCTGACGCATTTTGCTTCCCCATTCTGTCATGCTAAGGGCACAGCTAAAACAACGTTAAAGGTGTCTAACGTAAGAAGAAAAAGAATGTACCTATTTGTGTGGCCACAAACGTCCTAGACCTGCGGGCTGCTCCCCGCTGATCTCCGGAGAGCGCAGCCTTGTAGCGCGGGAAGCTCAATACACGGTTGTGAGGTTAAGCAGTCATGGGCAGGACGTGACGATTCCTTGGGTGAGCCCAGAACCAGAGCATCATGTGTCGGCTCTGCATTTATGGAAGCCTCCTTGGATGGCGGGGAATGCCCATGATCTGCCCCTGCCTTCCCTTGAGGGCTGAAAACTCTACATAGAGCTGCCTTAAGGACGACATGCCAGGGGCCACACTTGTTAAAAGTCAAAGAGGACACCACACAAATAAGGCAACATCTCGACCCACACAAAACAATGGCCACAGTCAACCTAGAAATAGGCTTGACGTCTTCCTCCGAAGTCGGAGTACATCTGCCTGAGAGGCGGGGAACGAGTACTGCAAACAAATAAGCCAGTAAAACGGATGTACACGCAAAACTCAGGTCAAGGTAAAAGCCAAAAGTCCATTTTGGACGAACAACCGTGACTTACCGCCGGAATTCACAGCCGGTGAACAAGAAGAAGAAGAAGAACAGTTCCATATCTCTAGTGGTTCTTCAACTTTCACTGTGTATGTTACAATTGAAAAGGCATTAGAAACGACACTATGTAACTTGGTTCTGAACCTATATAATTTACAGTTCCATATCTCTAGTGGTTCTTCAACTTTCATATGATTAATTTCCCCGTACTTGTTCCAGGGCCCTGTTAAATGGAAAACGAGAATAGACTCACTGCCTACCCAAAAGCATGTCGTAAGAGACGACTAATTTGGAGCTTTCTTCAAATCGGAGTGCAACTGCCTGAGAGGCAAGGAACCAGCAGTCTGCACACAAATGAGTCAGAACTGTAAAATGGATGCACGCGTAAGACTCAGGTTCTGGAACAGGACTGCAGTCCTGAAGTGGATGAACAACCAAAATGTTCCGCTAGAGTTTACAGCTGGTGAACTCGAAGAAGAAGAAGATAATAATCACTTAAAGTAATTTATTCTTCTTGGTACCGATAGAGTTAATGGCTGATTTAAAACTGTATCCCACAGGAAAAGTGGCCGGCAAGGACGACGATTCCAGTCACAACCACAACAATTTCATCTACTATGGTGGCGGGGCAGGTAAAGTCACCGTCATGGCGAAGGGCAGCGTCGTCCTCACCCAGCCATGCGTTAATGGCGAAACATCCACAGGTAAATATCGCTCTGTGAGTAAAGTAAAGATCCCTTTTCACGCCTTAGGCGCATCGGGTACATAGGAAGAGCGTCCCATATTTTTACAGACCAATCGGCACTGGATGGGTAATGTGGTCAGCATTACGCCGGCGGTCTTTACTTCCACAGGACAGCCATCCTGGTACCCATTTTAGGCTGGGTCGCCCTGCGACGCCCCATACCATGATAAAAATCCACGGGTTTCGATCGCCGTACTTTGGTAATACGAGTCGGACTCGCAACGCCTAAGCCACGGACGCTGCTAATGGCGCTCTGTAAGTCAGGACTTTGATTGATCAGTGCAAATAGTTTTCTTCAAGTGACTAGCCTTTAGCAGTTAGCTAGTTAGTCGATAGGTAGCTAGTTGTTAGTAGGTTGTTACTTAGTTGTTACTGAGTTTCTGGTTATTTGATAGTTAGTTGTACGTAGATTGTTACTTGTTAGTTAGTTGCCTGCAGCAACAAACTTCAAGGCCCGGTAATGCATACAAAGACGAATGGGACCAATCAGATACGGGAGAAAAGAAGAGAAGAAATTAGAAACCATGGAGAAAAAAAGCAGGGGAGACATGGCGAACATCGAGTCTGAATTTTGGAGAATTGACCTTGGCTTCCATGTCGGTCCAGCCTAAAGTGAATGCCATGTAATATCCTTGGAGGTATAGGCGGCTTCTGTGAGGGGGGACCGCTGAAGGCCTTTGGTTGATAAATCATGCATTTTAATAATGTGCTCCTGCAGTGAGGCGCTGTCGTAACTTGAAGGTCACAGATTTGATTCATCGCACAACCCGTGTGGGTTCCAAGGCACCATTGGGGAAGTGGAAGATCAGTCCTAACGTTATCTATCAAGCATGTCGCAAGAGATGGCTGATGATATGCGTTTCGTTTGAAGACGGACTGCAGCTACAAGAGAAGCGAAGGGCCACCAGTCTGCATACAACTAAGGCAGATCTGTCAAAAAGACAGGCAAGCAGAGCTCAAGTTCTGGAAAAATGCCAAAGTCCGGAAGTGGATGAACAACCAGAACTCTCTGCCGGAGATTACAACCGACGAACTCTAAGAAAAGAAGAGTAATTTTCCCGGCATGGGAACTATAACTTCCAATTTTTATGGCGTAAGGCGATTCTCTCTCCCTACCCCGCACAGGTCTCTTCTTGTTTATGTGATTGCCAAACAGTGCATATCTGTTAGTTTACCATCAAGTCAAAGCATGAACCTAGCATCATATGTGCAATGTGCTGTTGTCTAGGAGACGATGTGTGTAGTAAATGCTCTTAGCACACATTCTTACGATGACATAACTGGGACAAGCCGACACCGACTTCGAAGTACGAAACAGTTTATCAACATCTCATCACATACATAAACGTCCTGTCCGTGTCCTAATGTACAGCTTGCACACACCACATCTATCAGACTCCAACATGCTGGTTTCTCACACAATCACTGACCAGACGGATGTGGTTATTCTCATCGACTTCACACAGAATGGCCTGGCTGGTCTTGGCTTCAATGGATGTCGTCGTCTGATCTTCCTCTCGCAGCAATCAGTCTCACATTGTCATTCTCTCGATCACTCTCCCGTCTTCTTGCTCCGACAGTCAACACATACCTACTAACTGGGGTATGACCTTATACCCAGTGTTCGTTTCAGGTGGCAACACATGGTTGTTCTTGGGTTCCACGTGGCGACCTGTGGTCGTTCTCCTTTACTTCCACGTGATAACTCGTTGTCGTCCCCTATCTTGAAAACCACGTTTAATCCGAGTATCTGGCTTCTCTCGGTATTCTTGTTAGATTGGGGCTTTCCCCCCAACCTTCCCAATCATCGTGAAAATATACCCCATTACACTATATGACTGATCCGCGCAGGCGCAAAAGGACCCCCTACTTTCACTCATTTAAAACGTATGTTTTCACAGTGAAGGTCCATTTCCCACGTTTTTGGGATACTGGGCATATAGGGTTAGACCTATATATTTTATAGACCTATCTGGACACGCTCGGTGATGGGTTTAAAATCACGCCGGTTTTCAAAGAAAGACTCCAAAATTTGAAGAAATTTGTATTTTGGTTTCTTAAACATCATTACAGGTACAGCGACAATCGCTGATGAGGGTATTTATCCCGGACCACTGACAGGAACTCCAGCCACCATAAGTTTTAAATGTGGGGTGAGCTTTTTTTTTTTTAAAGTTACAGTATTTCACTAAATCATCATCCTTGTCATCGATTTCCACCTTTTTTTTTTCGTTAAGTGTCTGGGGGAGGAACACCTTGGCAATCAATTGCTTGATGGGCAGCAATGGTTGTTGTAATTCCTTATCGATGTGAAAGATCTTTAATGTCATCATTCTGTTTCCTCCTGATGCTACCTCTCACTTTCACGTCAGATCTTTCATGTGTGGTGTCTAGTAGTTGTGGTTGCATTACTGATCATCTGTTTCTCAGTGAATTTGGTACATGGTATTGTTCGCACAGCCTGATAATATCAATTTTTCACGTTTCCTTTCACGTTTCCACAATAATTCTTTAGCGTGAGTGAAGTTTAACTCTTTCCCGTATTGGTCCCGGAACCCTATCTTGGGGGGGGGGGGGGGGCGAGAGCCTCTACAACAAACGCGTTGAAGGAGTCGACTAACTTGTAGGTCCCTTCGTAGTTGGAGTGTATCTGTCCGAGCATTAAGGAACAACAAACTGCATAAAAATAAGTCAGTAAAACGGATGTGCACGCAAAACTCAGGCCCTGGCACGAAGCCGAAGTCAATATGGACAAACCAGGACTTTCCCCTGGAATAAAGAAGAAGAAACAAGAACCATACTAGTATCGCAGAATGAGAGATCAACACCCGGTGACGTATCGCAGAATGAGAGATCAACACCCGGTGACGTATCGCACAATGAGTGATCAACACCCGGTGACGTATCGCAGAATGAGAGATCAACACCCGGTGACGTATCGCACAATGAGTGATCAACACCCGGTGACGTATCGCACAATGAGAGATTAACACCCGGTGACGTATCGCACAATGAGAGATCAACAGCCGGTGAGGCAAACTGACAGATGTAATGTTAACAGTTTAAAAAAAAAAAAAAAAAAGCAGATTTCAAACATACCACCAGCGCATACATAGATTAAAAAGGCATCTGATTTTGAAAATCTTGGAACATTCACTGAAGAAGGTAAACTGGACGAAGATATTGACACCCGATGCAGTAAAGCTGGCCAAGTATTTATTGTGACAGCTAGCCTCCCTCTTACAGCATAAGGCAATCCCAATCAGCACAAAGAGACATCTCATACAAAGCATATTCATTCCCACCCTATGCTACCAGTGCCAGACGTGGTCACTCACAACAAAACATAAAAGAAAATTAGTAACCATGGAAATGAGGTGTCTGAAGAAGACAATAGAAGTGACCAGAAAAGATAAAATCAGGAATGAGGTCATGCGAGATCAAGTCGGCACAGAAATAATTATAAATTACATACAAAAACAGCAAATAAATTGTTTGCTCACTTGGAGAGAATGACTTTTGATGCTATACCATACAATGCATACACCAAAAGAGGAAAGGACGTAGAGCAAGAGTTAGACCAAGAACAAGATGGGAAGATAACATCAAATAAACACTTCAGCACTACTAAGTGTCTATGGGCGTAGCAGCCAGAAGAGCACGAAGCAGGACCTTATATCTCCTTCGACACCCGAAGCGCTAAAAGAGGACGTACTGAAGAAGAAGAAGAAGAAGAAGAAGAAGAAGAAGAAGAAGAAGAAGAAGAAGAAGAAGAAGAAGAAGAAGAAGAAGAAGAAGAAGAAGAAGAAGAAGAAGAAGAAGAAGAAGAAGAAGAAGAAGAAGAAGAAGAAGAAGAAGAAGAAGAAGAAGAAGAAAAAAAGAAGCAGAAGAAGAAGAAGAAGAAGAAGAAGAAGAAGAAGAAGAAGAAGAAGAAGAAGAAGAAGAAGAAGAAGAAGAAGAAGAAGAAGAAGAAGAAGAAGAAGAAGAAGAAGAAGAAGAAGAAGAAGAAGAAGAAGAAGAAGAAGAAAGAAGAAGAAGAAGAAGAAGAAGAAGAAGAAGAAGAAGAAGAAGAAGAAGAAGAAGAAGAAGAAGAAGAAGAAGAAGAAGAAGAAGAAGAAGAAGAAGAAGAAGAAGCAGAAAGAAGCAGAAGAAGAAGAAGAAGAAGAAGAAGAAGAAGAAGAAGAAGAAGAAGAAGAAGAAGAAGAAGAAGAAGAAGAAGAAGAAGAAGAAGAAGAAGAAGAAGAAGAAGAAGAAGAAAAAGAAGAAGAAGAAGAAGAAGAAGAAGAAGCAAAGTGCAAAGCGCCACAATTCGAGTGATAACCCCCAAGGTACAAATTGCAGAACCCCAGTTTAACCTTAATGTTGCAATGAGGCCCAAACTGTTGAAAAGTAACCTAAGTTCCAGACAGGTTAGCTGCTGAGCAACAACACATTTTTCCCAACCGGTTCACTGGACCTGTCGTAGGTTCATCCTTATTTGAACTGACTTAGAGCGCTGAATAATTCTGCATGATGCTAGTCGTTTTGTATTGATGGTTGTTTCTTTGCATCACCCACACTGTCAGTAATCATCGCTTTCTAGACAATCAGTTGTTGCCTGAGAGCTAGTGCAAAGAAAATATGAGGGAGGGAAGATTGGAGGGGAAGGGTCGGGTGACTCAGCCAAAAAATAGTTAAGAAGAAGACTATGACGAGGAAGAAAAAGGAGAAGCAAAAGAAAAAGAAAATGATGATGCTGTAGAAGAAGAAGAAGAAGAAGAAGAAGAAGAAGAAGAAGAAGAAGAAGAAGAAGAAGAAGAAGAAGAAGAAGAAGAAGAAGAGGAAGGAAGGAAGGAAGAAGAAGAAGAAGAAGAAAAAGAAGAAGAAGAAGAAGAAGAAGAAGAAGAAGAAGAAGAAGAAGAAGAAGAAGAAAAAGAAGAAGAAGAAGAAGAAGAAGAAGAAGAAGAAGAAGAAGAAGAAGAAGAAGAAGAAGAAGAAGAAGAAGAAGAAGAAGAAGAAGAAGAAGGAAGGAAGAAGAAGAAGAAGAAGAAGAAGAAGAAGAAGAAGAAGAAGAAGAAGAAGAAGAAGAAGAAGAAGAAGAAGAAGAAGAAGAAGAAGAAGAAGAAGAAGAAGAAGAAGAAGAAGAAGAAGAAGAAGAAAAAGAAGAAGAAGAAGAAGAAGAAGAGGAAGGAAGAAGAAGAAGAGGAAGGAAGAAGAAGAAGAGGAAGGAAGAAGAAGAAGAAGAAGAAGAAGAAGAAGAAGAAGAAGAAGAAGAAGAAGAAGAAGAAGAAGAAGAAGAAGAAGAAGAAGAAGAAGAAGAAGAAGAAGAAGAAGAAGAAGAAGAAGAAGAAGAAGAAGAAGAAGAAGAAGAAGAAGAAGAAGGAGAAGAAGAAGCAGAAAAAAGAAAAAAAGAAGAAAAAGGCGAAAGAGAAGAAGAAAGAAAAAAAAGAAGAAGAAGAAGAAGAAGAAGAAGAAGAAGAAGAAGAAGAAGAAGAAGAAGAAGAAGAAGAAGAAGAAGAAGAAGAAGAAGAAGAAGGAGAAGGAGAAGAAGAAGAAGAAGGAGAAGAAGAAGAAGGAGAAGGAGAAGAAAGAAAGAAAGAAGGAAAGAAAGAAAGAAAGAAAGAAAGAAAGAAAGAAAGAAAGAAAGAAAGAAAGAAAGAAAGAAGAAAGAAAGAAGAAGAAGAAGAAGAAGAAGAAGAAGAAGAAGAAGAAGAAGAAGAAGAAGAAGAAGAAGAAGAAGAAGAAGAAGAAGAAGAAGAAGCAGCAGCAGCAGCAGCAGCAGCAGCAGCAGCAGCAGAAGAAGAAGAAGAAGAAGAAGAAGAAGAAGAAGAAGAAGAAGAAGAAGAAGAAGAAGAAGAAGAAGAAGAAGAAGAAGAAGAAGCAGAAGAAGAAGAAGAAGAAGAAGAAGAAGAAAAAGAAGAAGAAGAAAAAGAAGAAGAAGAAGTGGTGCAATATAAAAGAGAGAAAGGGTAAATGAATAATTAAATGGCTACGAATGAAATCACAAAGATGTTATATTTCCCCTGTATACCCTTTCTTCCACCAGCCATGTCCACCGCCGCCACCGCCCCCACAACCGGCTCCTCCTGCCACACCAGCGCCGGCAGTAACAACTACAACAACAACAACCAAAAAGCCCACAGTAACAACGAAGGCTCCCACGAAAACTACACGTACAAAAGAGGATGACAGCACTAGCATTCTCCTCTCCTGGCTGATACCGGCCATCCTTGGTGGTCTGGTGTGGCTAGCACTGACAGCGTTTCTGATCTACCGCTATTGCTGTCCTTGTCGAAATCCGTGTGCCGGATTCTGTAGGAGAAGGTAAGTGTTATAATATATTTTTTAGAGTTAGTCTACACGAAGCCGCAGGGTTGTAGCTGCTAGACGCTCGTATGCGGATCCAAAAATCGTGTTTAAATCTGAACGGAGCTGCGATATTGCAATACCTCGACCCCACACAAATGCAGTAGTACTTGAGAACTCGAACCTAATCTGTTGAGAGACGACGATCGAATTCCAAATCGATCGGGTTTCGAGGCACCTTTTCGCATAGAAGGTAATGGAAATAATGTTCCAGTAATCAACAAACTCATATTTTTAATATTTTTTTCATGTACACAGCGGGAGTCGCCGTAGTTTAGCGGCTAGACCCAATGTAGCACAGTTGTCTTCTTTGTGTATGTTGATGTCACACGCAAGTTAGTTTGTAGCAGTGATTCCCAAACTGTGCGCCGGGGCGCCGCGAAATATTCGAAGATACACGTTTTTTTTTTAATGTCTTCAATACGACTAGTCATACTTTTACTTAGTTTAGGGCGCCATGGAAAAATTATGATTGAAAAAAGGCGCCACGACTAAGAAAAGTTTAGGAAACACTTTTCTATAGTTTTGCTACAGGAGGAGTCAACTGAAAGAGAACACAGAGTAGAAAGATGGTAGTGTCGATAGTGGTGATGATGATGATACCTTGCTTGCTAGAATCTCCCCGCATCGCTGACACTTGAATAATAAAATGTCTAGTAACAACTGTTCTTTTCTATACTTTCTTTATTGTATTACCTCAGTAATATCACAAGTAGCAGCAATGATATCCTGAATGGATGACGATTCAGCTCTATAGTTACATACTCTTGAGGTTGCGTTATGTTTTTTTCTCTTGTTACTTTGTTAACTATTTCTGTTCCTTACGACTGCCACCTGGCTTCTAGTGTGCTGTCTGGCACTAACGGCTTGATCGTGGACTCTAACAGCTTAGTAACGTTCCAACCTAACATGTCGATGATGAACAAGGAACCATGTATCTTGTCTGTTGTCTCTGTAGTTAGATGTTTCATGTATTTCGTCTTTTCTCTTGTCATTGTTTTTTAGGCTCAATGTGACTGGTTCATCTCCTCCTAAGTCTCGTAGACTGAAGATTATTCCTAACATGTGAGGGTCCTTATAGCTAATCCCACCTCTTTTAAGTCTCGCAGACTGAAGATTATTCCTAACATGTGAGGGTCCTTATAACTAATCCCACCTCTTTTAAGTCTCGTAGACTGAAGATTATTCATAATATGTGAGGGTCCTTATAACTAATCCCACCTCTTTTAAGTCTCGTAGACTGAAGATTATTCCTAACATGTGAGGGTCCTTATAACTAACCCCACCTCTTTTAAGTCTCGCAGACTGAAGATTATTCCTAACATGTGAGGGTCCTTATAACTAATCCCACCTCTTTTAAGTCTCGTAGACTAAAGATTATTCCTTACATGTGAGGGTCCTTATAATTAATCCCACCTCTTTTAAGTCTCGCAGACTAAAGATATCTCAAGTGGTTTCATACCCACTGTTTATACTGAGAGCTGGCGTGTGTGACATGCATTTGTTTGCTCACTAAACAGCTTATGGAAGGTTCTAGTGTAAACTTGTTTACTGCGTTCTCTACGTTTGATTTTCCAATTGCGTCTCGATTGCATCAGATAGGTCTACGACAAAATATACCTATTTGTTTGACAACTGGCATTCTATGGACTTCCAGAGAGCGAGTGCGACAAGGCTCTCTCTTTGATAAGGAACATTAACAATATTACCTCAGATACGATATATATATATATATATATATATATATATATATATATATATATATATATATATATATATATATATATATATATATATATATATATATATATGGGTTATTCATTTGCAAATAATCTCTCTGCTAATAAAAATGTAATGGTTCTAGAAAGGGAACGTAAATTTAGCTAAGACCTGTTGATTTTCAGTCAATGCGCAATATCCTATCATTCTGACAAACATGTGATAGATCTAGAAACAGTGTTACAGCTCGCCTGTGGATTGGAAGGTCATGGGTTTGGTGCCTGATGTAACCAGGCTTTCTTTAAGAAATAACATAGGCTCTCAGGTTGACCCAGCCTTGAGTGGGTATTGGTGATTACCCATTGACTTTTAATGCTGTTTCACAAAGAGACAGTCATCATTTTTCGGCCTTTTATGAGAAGGGGGAAATGGAACATTGCTGTAACCACTGGAAAGATCTGTGGAAGGAGGGATAGGGGAAGACAATCTGAGAAGATTCCTCACAGTCTTGTTGCATGGCATGGAGGGTTGACAGCACACGAATTAATACATGCTGCTGGAGATCGCAGATTGTGGAGAAGAATGATCGCCAGTCGGCAAGGCACCTGATGATGATGATGATGATGATGATGATGATGATGAATCTTTGCATTGCTATGGCCATCCCCCTTTTGATTTCTATTAAACAGTCTCCATCTCGTATTTATAATGGAACCTAGATTTTCAGATTTGATTACTATCGAAAATAATATTAAATAGTGTAATTTTTTTTAAACAGTTGAAAGTGTACGCGCTAACTGCAACCGTTACCCGCACGCCACGTTTCTGATATACATTTGTAGCTGTTTCTCTCTGGGGTTGTATTCTCATGTAATTGTAACTGACTCACAGAGCATGTTGAGAAAGGTGCAGACAGGCATGCTCCGTGCAGAGGGGCAAGCATCGCTTTTGACGTCCCCGGTAGTTAGCATCCTTTGGATTGTTTTCCCTCTCCAGGTGATGCCGGTGTGTTGGGAAACGAGCAGATAGTAAGCTGGCCGGTTCTGCACCACTTGGTGGTAAATTGATGTATGAAAAGCTAAATGTTGTGAGCGACCTTTGGGAACGAATGAACAGTTCGGAGGCGCAGATAGATCATTGTGGTCTGAGGAGAATGGCGCTGAGAGGAGTTACCAGGGAATCTGGCCGACGCTCGACACTCGAGAGAAAGGCTAGACGGATGTACAATCAGACAGTTACTGGTGCCATTGGAATTGGAACTCTTCGCTTTCTGCTGAAGATGGGGACTGAGCGCTTATGGGAGCGATCAGAGTGCCGTGATGTCGATTCTTAATTCCGCATTCAACATACTCTGAGCCATCATACAGTCCGTAAAACATGTCACCTATTTTCCTGGGGCGCACTGTGAACGGGCTGAAGAACACTGCTTTGGACGACTTTGAAAACAAACAAGGGCGTTTGTTGGCTAATGGTAGATTACTATGAAGCGTTCATCATCATCAAATGCCTTGCCAGCTGGCGTAGGAGTTCATGCATCTCCAGAGTTCTCGGTTTTTGGTGTTCGGGATCAATTTCACTGAAGATATTACTCCACGCCATTGTCTTAGGCCATTCACTATCATTTCTCTTGGTCTGCCTCTGTCTCTTTTACCAGTGATTATTCCGGTCGTCAGGATATTTTCCAGTGCCCTTTTTATCACCACAATGTTGCATTTAAGGATATTTCGTCTTGAAAATTGATTCCTGTTTAATATTTCTCCTTTCAGGCGAAGGGTTATCAAAGTCAAGCAAGCTGAACCACCGAAAAAACCCAAGCCAGAGAAGCCAAAGAAAGTGCCGCCACCACCTCCACCGCCACCCCGACCTCCTCCACCACCGCCTCCTCCACCCAAAGTGATGCCTCCACCTCCGCCACCACCCCCACCTCCGCCTGAGTAAGTAATGTGTGTTGCAGTGTGTGAGAAATAGCTTAGATAGTTTAAAATAGTATCATCATTATTATTATCATGAGCATCACCACCATTATGCTTTTATGTGTGTAGGTCACATTGGCAACACAACCATCATCTCTTATCATCATCATCATCATCATCATCACACATAGCATCATCATAATTATCATCATCACCACATATCATCATCATCATTATCGTAATCACCTCATATCATCATCATCATCATCGTCATTTTCATCAGCACCACATATCATCATCATCATCATCATCATCATAATCACCACAACATATCATCGTCATTATCATCACCACATATCGTCATCATCATTATCATCCTCATCACAAATCATCATCATCATTATCATCATCACCACATAGCAGCTTCATCATTTTTTTTCTTCACTACACATCATCATCATAATTATTATCATCACTACATATCATCATCATCGTTTGTATCTTCACTACACATCATCATCATAATTATCATCATCACTACATATCATCATCATCATTGTCAGGCTCACCACACATCATCACCTTTATCACCACATATCATCATCTTTATCAACACATAACTTCATCGTCAATATCATCTTTATCACCACGTATCTCCATCTTCATTAACATCATCATTATTATTATCATCTTCAACACATATCATTAATATCATTATCATCATCACCACATATCGACATCATCATTATCACCCGCATTATCTTCATCATCATTATCATCCTCACCATCATCATCATCATCATCATTATTATCATCATCACCATATGTCATCATCTTTATCCTCATCGTCATGCGCACCGCACACAAAGCGTGGACTGCAGTGGTGTGTCATATGTGGAGGTCTCTATTGCTTGAGTGATTAAGTCTTTTACCTCATCTCTCTGAAAGTGTTTTTTTTTTTGTTTTTTGTTTTATCCACTGCGGTTTGTTCCCTTCTCCCCCTCAGGATATCCGTCCTCAGGATTACCACCTCAAGGATGAGAATCCTACCTGTACACAATCTGATAAATCCCATTCAACTATAATGTATACTTGGACCCTCGACGGTATGAACCTGATATGATTCATTTCCTGACCCGGTTTCTGGATAAAGGACCCTCGTTGAGCAATGGAATTCGTTCTTTGTGACAGGCTCTCGGCAGACCGGCTTGCCGTTTTGAAGGGAGTAAACTAGTAAAAGTAAAGGACCCTTTTCCACGCCTTTAGGCGTATAGGGCATATAGGGCTAGAACTATATTTTATAGACCAATCGGCACAAAATGGGTAATGTGGTCAGTATCACGCCGCAGTACCCACTCAAGGCTGGGTGACCTGGGAGCCAAGGTCCTTTCTGAGAAAACTCCGGCTCCGCCAGGAAGCGAACCCACGACCTCTCGATCCGCGGAGAGCGTCTAGCCACTCCGCACGGCGACTCCCGTTCTGAAGTGGTAGACATAGCTTTTTGTAATAAACTTCAGTGCCAAAAGGTTCCCTCGACATTTGAATCTTTTTTTTTTTATACTAGATTTCGGGATCAGGTCTGTGCACTCGTCTCGGTAATGCGATGCGGCCATATCACCGTGATGTTTATCTTCGCTTCCAAAGGGTTTATTTCAGACTAAGTGAGCATGTACTAGTGAATCGGACGGCCGTATTTGTGCATTCACCAACATAGTTATTTACTGGAGAAACCAGCAAAAAATTAGCAGATCCTTTCCGTTAACATCTTACAGATACTCCCTATGAGGCTCTCAAACCGGTCTCTCTCTCTCTCTCTCTCTCTCTCTCTCTCTCTCTCTCTCTCTCTCTCTCTCTCTCTCTCTCTCTCTCAGTTTTAATAGTTCTGGCCATCAGGGCGAAAGCGATACCTCAGCTACTGCTACAAAATCTTGCTCCAGTGATCACACACGTCGCTTCTTTTTAGAAAAAAATTTTTTTTTGTTGTTGTTGAATTTTTTAACGTTTTTAGTCCTGCAGGGATCAACATTAAGCGCACATACGTTTCCTTCATTTTGATAATTTATTTAATTTATTTAACTAGTTTGTACTTCTATAATTGTTTTCTTTGTTATTTCTTTCGTACTATAGACCTTCACGTTAATATTTTATCTTGTTGTGCATTTACTGGCTACATGCTGACCTTGGTGGCTCACAAGCTCTGTTGTCTTGTCAGTTTAGTTTTCCAGTCACAGTTTCATATTTTTCTACACAGGGGTGGTATGTAACGTAGAAGAGTACAGAAAAAGGGGAGCACATCCAACACGATATTCTGTAACTTCAGCGACGACCCACAAGGATTCCCCAAAACAACTAGACTCGCCAGCCACTGCAACATAATTTGAAACCGAACTCCGCCACTCACCACGAAATGTCTTTTGGATTATTATGTTGGTTCCAGGGCCCCACTGGGAGGGTGGGGGGGGGGGGAGGATGGGGATAGATCCACAGGTCCCTAGCACGTATTTCGTAAAAGTCAACTAATGAAGAGTGTTTCCTTTGGAGTCGGAGTGCTTCTCCATGAGAGACGAGAAACCAACAGTCTGTATGCGTACACATTAGATCTGTAAAAACAGGTGTGCACACAAAATTAGGGTTCTGTAACAAGAATAAAGAGCTTTCCGCCGGAGTTTACAACCGGGCGAAGCAAAGAAGACGAATCAGATTAGCACTGAATCCCTGTGTTGGTTTCGGGGCCTCACTGGGGGTTGGGGGTTGGGGGAGGGGTGATGGATAGATTCACTGCCTCCCTAGCAACTAATTAAGCGAGTTTTCTTTGCAGTCAGAGTGCATTTAGCTGAGAGGCGAGGAAACAGCAGTCTGGTTACAAAGAAGCCAGATCTGAAAAACAAACAAAAAGTGAAAACCGTGCCGGTACTGTCTACACTGATGAGCGACTGGCCAAACGGTTAGCAGCTGGACTCTCAATCGGAAGACCCCGGTTCAAATCCACAATAAGGCTAGGGATTTTTTTTCCTCTGTCGGAGGCGAAATAAAAAAATTCACACCTGCACAATCGTGGCGACAGCACTCTCCATGCGGCCGTCAATCCTCAGCCCCAAAGACCACCCCCCCCCCCCGTCCCCCCACCTACGCAACAAAAGTGGTAATAAAGGCAGTGATTGACAGTGTGCCAGAACTGTATACTGTTGAGTATTACTAGGAAGAGCGCTGTATGCGGCTAACTAATTTATTAAACAAATCCAGTTTTTATGTTATTACTAGCTGTACCCGGCCACGCGTTGCTGTGGCGTAATTTGACTACATGGAAAATAGAGAACATAGAAATGTGTGTTCGCTTCACGCTAGCGATGTACAGAGCAACAGCTAAACCACAGCTAATAAAACTGGTTACAAAAGTGGTTATTTGGTTATCACATGCTAAAGCTGTTTGTATTTTTATAGGAGACGGAAGTAAAGCTACAACTGTACTTGTAAATAACAAAGTAAGTCGTAAAAAATAGAAAAGCGGAGGTAGCGTTAGTAAAATATAAACAAATTAGATAATGAGAACTTGAAAATCACGTGTAAAGCTCTTTAAGTTCTCTTAAATTTAAGTCATTACCCCCCTCCCCTCCCCTCTTCCACCGACTACTGCTCTCTCCCTCTTCGAAGGATTTGAAAATCACTAACTGGCGATATTTTGTTGTTGCTGTAACTGACATTGACATCCCTGTCCATCTGTACTAAAATAAGGAGCAGGAATTGTAAAAGGTAGTGAATAGGGCTAGTGAAATATTTACCACATCATCCTTCAAGTACCAGTACAACTACTAAAATAATGTCACTGTTATCTGTGTTACCATCGGAGTAGACAGAGAGTCGTGAGCCAGAAGATTTGGTTCCGCATGGCTAGTGCTGTCGCCACAGACTGGTCAGGTTAGGATGTATAATTTTACTTGCCGACAGAAGAACGCCATAACCTTACCGGCGGTCTTCACATGAGAGCACTATGGTGTAACAGCCCAACCACAACTATTACTGCTGCTGCTACTTAAAGTGGGTAAAGCAGTTACTGTGACTTAAAGCTCTCTCAGTTAATAGTTTGCCCCCCCCCCCTCCCCCCCCAAATTCACCGACAACTCTTTCCCACATTGAAGTAGTTGGGAGGGAAAAAACAACACTTGAAAAGCAAATGAACACAGGAAAAAAACACTATAATTAGGAAATGAACGCCATTGTAAACAGCACAGCTTAAAATTCCAACACAGATGAAATAACTAAATCTAAATGAAAATAAATGAAAATCTATAAAATTTCAGCGTAACCATGCAATCGGAAAGTTTAAGAATGCAATCATAAGTATGCGAAATGGTCAAGTTTAATTATCAAATGGTTTACCCATTTACTGGTTTTTTTTTTTTTTTTTTTAATATTAAGGCAACATGGCTAGTGCTGTCACCACGACAGAGCAGATGAGGATATTATTTTAGTCCGGGGTAAAAAAAAAAATTAACTACTGCGGATTCGAACCCAGGTCTACCGCACTTGAACACAGTGTTCTAACCATTCGACCAAGCAGCCACTTAATCGGAATAACGAAAAGAGAACACAACTATTAGACATATGTGTCCCTACCACTGTGTCGCGATTAAAACACAATTCAAAACCGGAGGCAATTGTTTTCTCGTAGACAGATACTCCAGATATATTAATGAAATAGAAATCGCACGTGTCTAACACGGTTAATGAAGTTAATGTCGCAGTCACTGTCTTCCCCGACGTCGAGATAGTCCTCAATTCCCCCCCCCCCCCCCCCCCCCCCCCCCTTTCCCCATCGAAGGTTGTTTGAAAAAAAAAACAGAAAATAGAAATCGTGTTTAATATGGTTATTGTGGCAAATATAGAGATAGTCTTGTTTGCTGTACCACGACCTACTCTATGTATTAGTATTAGAGAAGGCGTTGGCTGCACGTAACTCGCCGGCGAATGGTAAATACGGCGCATGCGCAATTACTAACGTGGCTATAATTAGAAATCACTAAAGTTATAAATATTAGTTGCGTATATTTTGGCATTAATTGTGGTCACCTATCTCTAACAGTGACAGGTTGAATTTCAAACCACGACGGTTAAAAATCCGGTATCACAACAAACATATCCTGAAAATTTCAGCTAAATCGGTTCAGTAGTTTCCGAGTCTATAGGGGTGAAACAAACACACAAACATTGATTTTTATATATATAGATACACATTGGTTTATAAAATGTTGTATACAGATTTGATATTCTCTGAATCTTTTCAGGTCCGATCCCTATCTGTTTGGATTCTGGAAAGAAAGTAAGATGACCCCCCCCCCCCCTCTCTCCTCCGCACCACCCCGCCATCCTTATCTCCCTGTGTCTGTGCCCTCTCTCTATCTCTTTCACTCTCACACACACACTCTCTCTCCCACTCTCTCCTTCTGTATTATCGTTTGACTCTTTTGGTAAAAAAAAAAAAAAAGCATTAACAGAAGACGATGAAAAGAGAAGGAAAAGAAACATGGTGACCTAATTACAGTCAAAGTGGCAATATACACAGTGGTTCTGACCATGTGGGCCTTGTTACACAGTTGTTTTGAGGGATTGTTTCCAGTATACTTCGCGAAAGAAAATAAAAAAATCAGATCCTGTGCTATTAGAAATTCATGTGGTACCCCATCTCTTTTTGATGCTCTAAGCACGTGTTTAGTGTGCCTAGTAACTATTTAAAAAAAAAAAAAAAGCAGCACATCCGCAATCGAAAATTCTAAAATTATAAGAACATCGGAATTCTAAAACCTTATGCAAAATTCGTGTTGATACGTACAGCAGTTTTTAAGATATTTGAAGTTTGATGGCATAACTTTTCAAGTGCAGTGTAGACTCCATATTTATATAGACCAATCTGCATTCAGTGGATGATGTGCTGGACATCACACCGGTCGCCTTTACCTCCCCTAAATTTACTAGGCACCCATTTTAGGCTGAGCTGACATGGGCGCCAATGATATTTTTGAAAAACATTCCACCTAATGTGGATTCGAACCCTCAACCGCGTCGGCAGGCAGGCCTCTAGCTTCTACGCCACATGCGGATCCCCCTTATTCACTTAACACTGTTTCAAATATTTTGTCTTTGCACCGATTCCAGTCATTCTCCTTTCTTCCTTTTTTTTTGCATTCGTTTATCCCTTCATTCCTTCCTTGTTTGACTTTCCGATTGTTTGTTGTTTTTTTCCCCTCATTTCTTTCTTTTTCTTTCTTTCTTTCTTTCTTTCTTTTTTTCTTTCTTTCTTTCTTTCTTTCTTTCTTTCTTTCTTTCTTTCTTTCTTTCTTTCTTTCTTTCTTTCTTTCTTTCTTTCTTTCTTTCTTTCTTTCTTTCTTTCTTTCTTTTTATCTTTATTCTTTCTTTCTTTCTTTCGTTCTTTCTTTCTTTCTTTCTTTCTTTCTTTATTTCTTTCTTTTTATCTTTTTTCTTTCTTTCTTTCTTTCTTTCTTTCTTTCTTTCTTTCTTTCTTTCTTTCTTTCTTTCTTTCTTTCTTTCTTTCTTTCTTTCTTTCTTTCTTTCTTTCTTTCTTTCTTTCTTTCTTTCTTTCTTTCTTTCTTTCTTTCTTTCTTTCTTTCTTTCTTTCTTCTTTCTTTCTTTCTTTCTTTCTTTCTTTCTTTCTTTCTTTCTTTCTTTCTTTCTTCTTTCTTTCTTTCTTTCTTTCTTTCTTTCTTTCTTTCTTTCTTTCTTTCTTTCTTTCTTTCTTTCTTTTTTGTTCCTCTATCTGTCTTTTTCCCACTTTCTTTTTCCCGATTTCTTTCCTTCATTCGTTCTCTATTTTTTTTTTTAGTTACGTTTACCTTATTTGACCCTAACCTTTATTCCTTCCAGCTGTTCGTTCTTTCTTTCTTTCTTTCTTTCTTTCTTTCTTTCTTTCTTTCTTTCTTTCTTTCTTTCTTTCTTTCTTTCTTTCTTTCTTTCTTTCTTTCTTTCTTTCTTTCTTTCTTTCTTTCTTTCTTTCTTTCTTTCTTTCTTTCTTTCTTTCTTTCTCTCTTTCTTTCTTTCTTGTTCCCCCATCTGTCTTTTTTCTCACTTTCTTTTTCCCGATTTCTTTCCTTCATCCGTTCTCTATTTCTTTTTTTTTTTAAATTACGTTTGCCTTATTCGACAGTAACCTTTATTTCTTGCGGCTGTTTCCTTCTTTCTTTCTTTCTTTCTTTCTTTCTTTCTTTCTTTCTTTCTTTCTTTCTTTCTTTCTTTCTTTCTTTCTTTCTTTCTTTCTTTCTTTCTTTCTTTCTTTCTTTCTTTCTTTCTTTCTTTCTTTCTTTCTTTCTTTCTTTCTTTCTTTCTTTCTTTCTTTCTTTCTTTCTTTCTTTCTTTCTTTCTTTCTTTCTTTCTTTCTTTCTTTCTTTCTTTCTTTCTTTCTTTCTTTCTTTTTTTCTTTCTTTCCTTCTTTCTTTCTTTCTTTCTCTCCTTCTCTATTGCATTTCTGCAACATTCACTACGGTAATTACACGTCAATAAATAAATGGTTTCTAATCTCCAGCCTTCACCGACCAGGACAGAAATAAGCACCCCACCAGGGCAGCCAAACCAGAAGCCATAGAAAACATGCCCTCAGGTGCTGAAATCCCAAGAGGCAACGCCATCCCTCCAGAGAATCTCAAACTGGGAAATCCCGGGCCAGGACAGCATAACATACCGCAGCCAAAAGGTGCTCCAGGACAGCCCCAACCGGCAATAAATGCAGGTCAAGGCGTCGCAGGGAAGAGATGTTGCATACAGTAACTAGATAATGAGCAGAGGGAGATATTACAGTTCTATTTTCATCATCATTATGACATCGCCATGAAGTGCCTTGGTAATTGGCGGTAGATATCATGCTTTTCTCAGCTGGCAGTTACAATAGCATTTTTCCTTTTAAAGATAGAAATACAATTGATGAGTGAAAGATAATTTCCTGGACAGGCCGAGTTTGAGACAGGCTGGCGGGCCCATTTTGTGACCCTAGGAAATGAAAGTTTCGTTTGTTGGTCATTTTCCTCAAACTCTTTAAGGCCATGACAAAAGGCTGTTAATATATAAGGTACAATAAAAATAAATCGGGCGACAGAACACATCCTTGTCGCGCGTCTTTTTTTTCCTCAGTGGTCTGAAATGTTCTTAAACGGAAGCTTATTCTTACAGCTTCTATTTTTCTGCCTCTGCGTGTTGTGTGCCGGCGACTGTGGCTTAGGCGTTGCGAACGCGCTTCGTAATGCCGGGGTGTCAGGTTCGATCCCAGCTGCAGACGGTTTGTCTTGCGTTGGTTTCTACAGTGGTAGCAAGGGCTGACCGTTCAGGGGGCAATGGCAAACTATGGAACGTATATTTGCCTAAAAACCCACAACAGACACACACACACAAAATACTGCTTTTGGTTCTGTTAACAAAGAACCTGTAAAGGATAAAGAACTAACCTTTCACATGTTCTTCATTATTCGCAGATTGTTGCCTCCAATGTTTATTTTGTCTGGCAGTTTGATTAGTTCATCAATTTTCACACAATCAGATGCCTTCTCCCCATCAATTTATAACGAAGCTAAGTGCACTTTCTCCCACGGCCCCGCCCCCACCCTCCAAATACCACACACACATACACACACGTTTAGAAGTTCTCTTTAGAAGGTTTTAGTTGATATATATAATATTATTTCAAATATATTATTACATTTAGTTTTGACCACTCATGCACATTAATATTATTACTATTATTATTACATACAAGAGCTGCCGTGATATAGCGACTAGATACTCACCTGCAGGTCTGAAAGGTTGTGGGTTCGAATCCACATCCAGCCAAACATGTTTTTAAATAGGCGGGCCTGTCCCACTCCTCCCTCACACACATACACAGTTGTAGCTAAAGTTACAACAGAGTGATATCACGAGTTAAAGTAGCCTTCACCTGAGAGTCGAAGAGCTGATGTAGCTTTCACCTGAGAATCAAAGAGCTGAAGTAGCCTCCACCTGAGAATAAAAGAGCTGAAGTAGCCTCCACCTGAGAATCAAAGAGCTGAAGTAGCATCCACCTGAGAATCAAAGAGCTGAAGCATCCACCTGAGAATCAAAGAGCTGAAGTAGCATCCACCTGAGAATCAAAGAGCTGAAGTAGCTTCCACCCGAGAATCAAAGAGCTGAAGAAGCATCCACCTGAGAGTCAAAGAGCTGAAGTAGCCTCCATCGGAGAGTCAAAGAGCTGAAGTAGCCTCCACCTGGGAATCAAAGAACTGAAGTAGCCTCCACCTGGGAATCAAAGAACTGAAGTAGCCTCCACCTGGGAATAAAAGAACTGAAGTAGCCTCCACCTGGAAATCAAAGAGTTATAAGTCACAAGCTATGGACAGATGGAATATCCGAGGCCATAAACGACAGAATTTATGTAGTACACAACAAGGCTGTCATCCGATTCCTCTTCAAAACGTGAAGCTGAAAAACAATATACATTGCTAGAAAAGGAGAAGAATGTTTGCGAATGTTAGGTTTTATTTTCTCTCAATGATTGCAGTGTTAAAACATTTAAGACCACGATCATCATCATCATCATCATCATCAAGTGAATTGGTAAAAGTTCATGTATCTCCACAGATCTCTCGATCTTTAGTGTTCTGGATCAATTCCACTGATGATATTCCTCCATGCAACTGTCTTAAGCCGTCCACCATAATTTCTCCCGTTCAAGTTTGTGTAAAACAAAATTTCCAAACTTCGGCGACGTTTAACCTGCTCCTATCTGAGCGACGGTTATTTTGTCGGCCGGGTTTCTTTGTGATTTATCCTCGGTTTAGTCGTTTGTGGTGTGTGTTCACACCTGTTTTATGTTTCTGCTTTCCATAAGCCGCTGTCCTTGCTGGTTGTCTCCTTTGCCTCTTGGTTTTGAGTCTTTTTTTTTTTTTTTTGTGTCTTTGCGGGTTCTTTCTTGTTTGGTGTGGTTTTAGCAGGATCTGTTCTTGTTCTCTGTGTTTCTTGTCCCTGTGGGTTTTTGCTTGATTGTTGCTGGTGCTTGTTCTTGCCGTGTTGGTAACCGCGCTAGTGTCCTTACCTCTAAGGTAAGCCCCCGGGAAAAGCCAAACAATCCAGATAGCATTGCCTCAGTGCACAATTTTTAATCGGCCTGAAAAAACAAAAAACAAACCTTTTTTTTTTTTAAAGAAGTAGTGGAGGTAACACAGATTTGCACACACAAAAAAAGAATGTTTGAATGTTCCTGGAGATTGTTATAGTAAGATTGGTAGAACGAGAGAGATGGATAGCTTGCAAGGATAAGGAAAGTGTATCCCTGCTGGCCCTCGTCAGCGTCTTGATCGCCTGAGGCAGGGTCCCTGATATTGGCGGATCTCCGATGTGATCTGAAAAGAGCCTCATCTAAAAATACAATATTTTAGTACATTTGGGGTGGCAGAGTAGGGGAGATAATTTACTAAATCAATGTAAGACTGGAATCCATGAGTGCTGGTCCCCTTTGGTGCTATGTCCTCAGCTTATTTCCCTTGGAGCGTCAGGGTGGCCGTGGGCGGTTGCCAAAAATTTCTCCTAGTCTGCCTCTGCCTCTTAAACCAGTGATCTTTCCAGTCGTCACGATGTTTTCCAGCGCTCCTTTTCTCATCACAAGACGAAAAAACTTTGTTTGTCTCCTTCTCATTGTTGTATATGATGTTTAACTTTCATTAGCCATTTCCATTCAATTATTGTTAGTTATTCTGACAGTCCAAGGTATGTGCAACATTCGTTTCAAGATCACGATAGTGCCTTGTTTTGAGGGCCGTATCGAGGCGAATGTTTGCTCTTGTGATTTGATCTTGACTACCAGACTAAAACCGGTACAACGAAATGTTTTCAGAAGTAAAGGCAACCGACGTGATGTTGATCATATCACTAATCGAGTGCCTATTGTCTGTGAAAAATTTTGGTTTGGCACTATTTGCCTAATTGAGCATGAAAGCATGCTGAGAAAGGCGAAGACACGGATGCTTCGAGCAGAGTGGCAAGCTACACTGGGAAGGTCATGGGTAGTGAGCATACTTTGGATCGTTTCTTCAGGCTATGCCGGCGTGGGTGGGGAATGAACAGGCGGACAGATTGGCGGGCTCTGCACATGTTGGTGGAAAAAGATATTCGAGGAGTAGCCGTGACGTAGCAGCTAAACGCTTACCTGCGGATCGGAAAGTCGAGGTTTAGGTCCGGAGGGAGCCGGACTTTAAAAAAAAAATTTTCATTAAAAAAATATTCATGGCTCCCAGGTCAACCCAGCTTTGAGTGGGTACCAGGTAAAATTCATGGAAAGTAAAGGTAACCGAGTGCCGATAGATCTATAAAATATAGGTCTATCCCTGTATACCCAATACGCCTAAAGACGTGGGAAAAGGGCCCTTTTCTTACAACATACTGGATGGCCAGTGTCCTGAAAATGGTTCTTGATTTATTTACTGTTCCCAGATCTTTGCCTTCAGTATTTAGGTTGTCCAGTTTTCTGTTTTTCATGTTTCACATTATTAAATGCTTTGGTGCAGCCAATAAAGAACAATTACAAATATCTTTTCATATGAATAATTATTTGTATTTATGTGCAGATAATGTCTCTTAAAATTCGCTAGATACAGTTTATGAAGACAGACTGTGATCAAAACTAGAAGAGGTCATGTGGGAAACGAAGAAATTGCAAGAACTATTAGAACAAAACCTATAATTAAAGTCTTTGGAAAACAAAAACTGAAGTGTTTGGCTATCTGCTGTGAATGATTACAATGATGCCATCAATGAGAGCGTACAACATGAAATTAGAAACACCAGAAGGTAGGGGACGCTCAAAAAGAATAAGGATTGAAGGAGTCACTGACACCTTCAGACTCCGCAACACCACAGTATGCTGGGCAACCGAGCTCGGATACCGATCACATGGTAATCTGCGACGCCTAGCGGCACAAAGCAGAGTATGGACAACAGAAGAATGTGAATATTTTATGAAAATGTTTGCGATTAATCGTTAATTGAACTAGAAGAGACAGGGTTGTAAATGACGATATCAAGAAAAAAAGTTGGAACGGAACCAGTACTAAATTTTATCAAGAGACAACAGATGAAATGGTTTGGACATGTGTCAAGACTACCACCAGATAGTGCACCACAGAGAGCCCTGTCATTTAGATATAATAGAAGCAGTACTAGAGGTAGACCACACAAGCGATAGATAGATGGAATATCCGAGGCTGTGTATACTAGCATCTACGTAGTAAACACCAATGCTCATCCAATGCCGTTTCAAAAAGTGTCGCTGAAAGACAATGTACAGGGCTAGAGAAGAAAAAGAAAAAGAATAATGTTTGCGAATTTTAGTTTTCATTTTCTCTCAATGATTGGAGTGCTCAAACATTTAAGACCACGATCATCTTCATCATCATCAAGCCTTGCCAGCTGGCGTAGGCATTCACGCATCTCCAAAATCTTTAGTGTTCTGGATCAATTCCACTGATGATATTTCTCCATTTCACTGTCTTAAGCCAGCCACCATCATTTCTCTTGGTCTGCCTTCTTTCCAGTCGTCACGATATTTTCCATTGATTCTGTTCTTATCATATGACCAAAGAACTTTGTCTCCTTCTCATTGTTGTATATAATTTTCTACTATCATTAGCCATTTCCAGGCAATCATTGTTAGTTACTCTTGCAGTCCAATGTATTTGCAACATTCTTCTCAAGATCACGATAGTGCTTTGTTTTGGGGGCCGCATGGAGGCGAATCTTTCCCATTGCAATTGAATATGGACTCATAGACTAAAACCGGTACCACGTAATGTTTTGGGAAGTAAAGGCAACCTGCGTGATTTTGATTATATAAATAATCGCGTGTTTTGTCTGGCACTATATGCCTGATTGGGCACGAAAGCATGATGAGAACAGTGAAGACAGGGATGCTACGAGCAGAGTGGCAAACTTGACTTGGAAGGTTACGGATTGTGGGTATACGTTGGATAGATTTGCTTGGCAATGCCGGCGTGGTGGGGAATGAAAAGAAAGATGGACTGGCTGGATCTGCACCACAGGGTGGGGAATTGATACATGACAAAGTAGATGTGGTCAAGGACCCTTGGTAACAAGTAACGAAGTCAGAAGAGAAATTAGATTATTATAATCTGAAAAAAAGAAGAAGGAGAAGAAGAAGAAGAAGAAGAAGAAGAAGAAGAAGAAGAAGAAGAAGAAGAAGAAGAAGAAGAAGAAGAAGAAGAAGAAGAAGAAGAAGAAGAAGAAGAAGAAGAAGAAGAAAAAAGAAGAAGAAGAGAGAAGAAGAAGAAGAAGAAGAAGAAGAGAAGAAGAAGAAGAAGAAGAAGAAGAAGAAGAAGAAGAAGAAGAAGAAAAGAAGAAGAGGAAGAAGAAGAAGAAGAAGAAGAAGAAGAAAGAAGAAGAAGAAGAAGAAGAAGAAGAAGAAGAAGAAGAAGAAGAAGAAGAAGAAGAAGAAGAAGAAGAAGAAGAAGAAGAAGAAGAAGAAGAAGAAGATGAAGAAGAAGAAGAAGAAGAAGAAGAAGAAGAAGAAGAAGAAGAAGAAAAAAGAAGAAGAAGAAGAAGAAGAAGAAGAAGAAGAAGAAGAAGAAGAAGAAGAAGAAGAAGAAGAAGAAGAAGAAGAAGAAGAAGAAGAAGAAGAAGAAGAAGAAGAAGAAGAAGAAGAAGAAGACGAAGAAGAAGAAGCAGCAGCAGCAGCAGAAAGGGGAAGAACAAAATACAGTGATTTCAGTATATTTCAATTATAAACTTAACATTAGTTTTTTTTTTCCAATCAATACAGTGATTTCGGTATATTTCAATTATAAACTAAACATTAGTTTTTTTTTTTTTTTTTTTTCAATCAGACTCGTAACACAAGCATTCAGTAAATACATACTTTTTAATTTTAATTTTATTTTTTATTTATTATCAGTTATAACAGACATATAACAGCGAATGTTCAGCAGAAGGAAAATGTATTTTATCTGACGCTATAAAATCCCACAATGTTCAATGTTCAAATGTTCAGAGAAAAGAATCCTTGTTTCCGTTCACCATCTCTAAGCTCTGGTGGAACGATTTGGTCGTTGGTCAATCTCACACGTTTTGCAGAGCTGGCTTATTTGTATGCAGACTGTTGGTTCCTAGCATCTCAGGCAGATGCGCTTCGACTTCTAAGGAAACACTTCTAGTAAGTCCTCGTTTACGACATGATTGTTTGGGATGCAGAAGGTCCCTAAGCCCCCCCCCCCTTTTTTTCCCCCAAACATTCTCAAAACCACCTCCTTCGTCTCGCAATGGGACATCGGAAACCACACGAGGAGACAAACCAATGCAACAACAAATGTTCAGGGGGAAAAGAAAATACACACACACAGTATTACAAGAAATTTTCAGGTGGGGGCGAGAACACACACACAGAGTGTAACAACAAATTTTCAGGGGGGAAAAACAACACACACACACACACAGTGTAACAACAAATGTTCAGGGGAAAAAAACACACACACAGTGTAACAACAAATTTTCAGGAGGCAAAAACATTGTAAAGGTTAAATATGCAGGAGGGAAAACATTCAGCTGTGAGTCGTAACGTTGATGATACGACTATACAATCACTGTAGTATTATTTAGCTAGGAAACAACAAAGTTATTAAATAGGCTGACCATATTATCTTCAGCTGAGTACAGGACATCCTAATAATACTCTGAACTGAAAACGGGACATCCTATAATTCTTTGAGCTGAAAAAGGAACATCCTAATAAAACACTGAGCTGAAAACGGGACATCCTAATAATACTCTGAGCTAAAAACGGGACATCCAAAGCAAGTCAAATTACCACCCCCACCTCCAGTTTTGGAATTTATTATTATTATAATCGTTAATCATTTAGGAGCTAATACATCTTAGGAACATGAGACTATATAGACCTATACATTGTGTAAGCCATACTAATTAATTGACATTAAAACATTTTTTTTCTAGTTGGATTTCAAGCTTTGTTTTATAGTGTATAGATCTCTATATTTTTACTTTTAGTTTGTGTTCGTGTATATAAGTGTATATTCTATTCTGGAGCAAATTCCCAGATTGGCGCTTTGTGGGAGTACCGACTGGATGGTTGTTACGCAATAACAACAACAACAACAGCAACAAAACAGAACTGCAACGGTGAAAATTGGATGTATAGTCACCTTATTATTAGGTCAATAAAATCACTGTAGTATAATTTACCTAGAGCAACGGTTCTCAACCTCTCGTCTCAACCCTTCGGAGGTCGAACATCCCTTTCACAGGGGTCGCCTAAGACCATCAGAAAATACATTCACTGAAGTTATGAAGTAGCAACGATAATAGTTTTATGTTTAGCGGTCACCGCAACATAACTCAATAAAGGGTCGCGGCTTTAGGAAGGTTGAGAAGCACTGACCTAGAGGAAAAACAAGGTTATTAGGAAGTTATAGTCAGTTTGAGACAGTTCATTCAGAGACCCTCGGAAGCACAGCACCATGTTGGCCCATCCCAGGGTTCCCAAGTCTTAGATTGGCGGGAGCAGGAGCATTGCCTCGGGGGATGACATCTTCTGGAGGCATATTTTCGACAGCCTCGGGTTTGGCTGATCTTGCCGGCAGACTAACCATATCCTGGTCAGTGTATTCTGTGAAAATAAATACACATTTAAATATAGTCTTAAATATATAGGTATCCTATGTGTCTCGTTTCACCAGGACAGCCAATTGATTCGTTTTATACAAATTTAGAAATACGCTCATGAATAAAACATACATTTTAGTTATATCTATAGATCTTATTAGAATGTATAGTGTTAGAAACTATTATTGCCTGAAATCTAGTGATGGGAATGCTCATCGTAGCATTTTGTTGTTGTTTTGTTGCTGCTGCTGGTTTTTTGTTGTCGTTATTGTTGTTTAACTTACTATTCATATATTCACCACCTGGACTGTGAGTAACTTTTTCATTGTCCGTGCACCAGAAAAACCCTTGTTTTCTCTTTACTTCTCCTGTTGTTTTTTAATCGAGCAGGTAACTACTCATTGTCCTAACACATTTTTTTCTCTCGTCCCCCTCCTTGTTTTATTCGCTTTTCGCTTCCCGTTGGCTAATTAATGGACATGAATATTGACAGGTCGCATGCCAAACTGCAACAACTTATACCGAATCAAAGGATTACTGAATTATAGACTTTTAAATCTGGGCACTACTTTTGCAACGGACTATAGTAAAAGCCTGATAGTAATATTCTCTAAGTGTCTGAGTGTCGGCCAGATCCCTTGGCTACTCCTCCTTTGCACCATTTTTCCCCCAGACCAAATGATATATTTCTGCTCTTACACTACGCCTTCTAATTACAAGGTTACTTTATAACATTCATGGTTGAACAGGGTTTCTTGGATTTGTACCTGGAGTGGTGGAAAAAGGATGGGAGGGGTAACATCCTAATAGTGACTCTTTTAGTTATCCAGTGGTAATCGCTCAGTGTTCGGTCCTAGTGTGGTTCAACTTCACTCACTTAGTTCACTCGCTCCCTGCAATGAGCTGTGTTTTTACTAACTCTGTTTGCACTGGCTGTTGTCTAGGAGATGATATGTGTAGTGAATGCTTTTAGCACACATTCTACGTAGACATAACTGGGACAAGCCGACAACAACTTAACAGTACGATACATCAGTTTATTGACATCTTAACACTTACATCGTTGTATAGTCCTTGTACTAGTAAACAGCTTTCACACACCACATTACGCAGACTTCAACATGCAGGTTTCTCACGCAGTCACTGACCAGAGTTTGCACAGATGTATCTGGTTTTTCTCCTTGACATCATACAGACTGGACAGGCTGGTACAGGCTGGTCTTGGCTTCAAATGGATGTTGTCGTCAAGTTTTCTTCTCACAGCAATCAGTCTCACGTTGGTATTCTCTCAATCAATCTCCTGTCATTTCACTCCGACAGTTCAACACATACTAACTTGATCAGACTAGGGTCTGAACTTATACTCAGGGTTAGTTTCACGTGGCAACACGTGGTGGTCCTTTACTTCCACGTGGCGACCTGTAGTCGCTATCATCGGGTTCCTTGTGAAAACTCGTGGTTATCACCTATCATGAAAACCTCGGTTAATCCAAGTATTTGGCTTTGGTATTATTGTTAGCTTGGGGCTTTTCCCCCAACCTTCCCAATCAGGGTGAAAATATCCCTCATTACACTCCTATGTCTATAGTACGTTTCAAAACTCGTGCTCCCACATTACAATGAATATCTCAAAAACTTTGGTACGGATCAACACTAATTTTTGCAAGCGGCCTTGGATTTCCCATGTCATTATGACCATACAGTTAATAGTTGCACAGGTGCGGCTGTTTCTTTAAGCAGCGAATTTCTTTGATATTTGTTTGAATAATAATTTGTGTACCTATAAAAAAAATATATATACAGTAAATGTTAAACTGCGGCGTCCGTGGTTTAGGCGTTGTGAGTCTGACTCGTAATTCCAACGTACTACAACGGAAACCCACTGCTGGCAGTATTGATTTGATAATGATATGGGGAGTCGCAGGTCGACCTAGCCTAAAGTGGGTACCAGGATGTATGTCCTGGGGAAGTAGAGACGGTCGGCGTAATGCTAACCACATTACCCCCACCTAGTGCCGATTGGTCTGTAAAAATATGGGTGCTCTTCTCATAAGCCCGATGAGCCTAAAGGCGTGGAAAGGGATCTTTTCTTTTTTCTTTCTAATTGACAAACAGGTAGAGATTGTTTGAAAACCAGATCCCATGTGCAGCGACACGTGGAAATTATTTTAATAGACTGTCAGCGTACAATGACAAATTTTGTTCATCTAACAACATACAGGAGTTAACTGCTAGGGAATCATCCTTCGAGTGGAAACGCCCATGAGACGCCTGAAATTTGATGCTTGAAAAGCTCACTTTACTCAAGTTATTGTATTGTAAGCTTGCTGATTATCTGCTTTAAATCGTTGTACGTTTTCTTTTTCATGTCCGTCCAAAAAAAAAAAAAAAAGCAAAATTAAAACTAAATGTTTGGTTACATAAAAAAAAATTCTTACAGTGACATTATTTTTTACAGATTGCATGCCAAATGTTAACAATTTACAATTAACAGTTACTGGGTTACAGATTTTTGATGGTGGGCACGATTTCGGAAACGGACTATAGCTTGGCGTGCACTAATTTGTGGGAAAGGACGTTTTTGGCAAGAAAATCAACACGACGAATGAAGATCTGTAAGATGGAAGCATTTCATTAGTTACAGGTTGCGTATCCTTTACATGACGTTGCTGAACCATCTCCTGTTTTTTTTTTTTTTGGGGGGGGGGGGGGGGGGGGGGGGGGGGGGAGGAGCAGTTGTGGGTGCAAATTTTACGTTCAGTAGTTTGCCATTGCCTCTGAACGGTAAGTTCTCGGAACCACTGTCAAAACCAGCGCAAGACAAATCTTACGAAGCCCGTTCGCAACGCCTAACACACAGACGCTTTTTGTTGTTAAGTGTACCGGGGGGGATGGGGGGGGGGGGGGGTACCAGTGACAGATGGTTGTAAAGGCAAAAGTGAAAGTGGAAGTGAATAAAACACAAATTAAAAGAAAGAACAAAATACAGGATTGCTGAAAGGGGAACGAAAAACTGCTAATGAGACAAAAAAGGAAACATAAAACATTTCTTACGTGTTTTCCAAAAACCGTACATGTAGGGATCTGATCTGAAAGAGGAAAGAGAACGAAACAAATTAGGCAAAAAATATTTATTAAAGATTATCTTAGCTCCTAAGTAAGGCTAGTTGCGTATCCTTTACAGGACGTTGCTGAACCAACCCCAGCAATCCCTGGCTGTTGTGTGGTTTCTTTGGGCAAATTTACGTCCAGTAGTTTGCCATCGCTTTCCGCTGATTCCACTGTCGAAACCAACGCAAGGCGCATGGCCCGTAGCTGGGATCGAACCCGCACCCCGGCATTACGAAGCGTTCGCACCGACTTAGCCACACAGCCGACGCTTCCAGGTAAACGCAGCCTAAATTAGGTAACAGGAAATGTCATGGGAAATAAAGGTGGCGGAGGTGATGATGATGATGATGATGATGACATCAGTCACAGAAGGTAAACTAGTTTAAACAAAAATGGGCGTGACACTAAATTCAAAATAGGCCAGTAGTGCTATTCCAAAGTCATGGGTTCAAATCTTCACCACATCATCCTACGTGTGACGATTGGTGTATCAATATACAGATCTAGCATTATACACACAGCATGCCTGAAGGAGTGAGTAATGGTACTTTACTTTTAACTGACACCTATTAGTTTAGTGTACTCTTTTCACTTGTTAGCGTTCACTGGTAGTAAATTCCGGCGGAAGGTACTGTTTGTTCGTCCACATGTGGACTTACGTCTTTTTCCAAGACTTCCTTTTTTAAAGATCTCGAGTGCTAGAGGTTCCGGGTTCAATTGCCAGTAAGGGCTGGGATTTTTTTCACGTGGACTTATAGTGATTCCCCCGGTCTCTGTGTATTGAGATCGCACGCCTGTGTGCATTGTTGCTCATGTAAAAATTCCTTGGCAATTGGAAATCAAAAAGAGTAGCGTAACGGCGCTATTGGTGCAGAATTTGGAGTTTAAAATCTGCCCAAATTATTTCAGTGTCCTCGCCAGTGCTACAGAGCCTGTGCACTGTTGAGCTTCTTCCGACTCAGACTTTAGTTAGAAGAAGAACGGAGCACTTATGGGTTACTACCCGTGTGCCATAATGATGATCCGTTGTTCAAAACCTCAAATCAATTGTATGCAGATCGTTTGTTCCTCTATGGTAAAAGCACTACGCCTTCGAAGGAAACATCCCTCGTTAATCACCTTTTGTGACATGCTTATTGGGGATAGGGTAAGGGGGCTGTGAGCCCATTCGTTTTCTTCAACAGTGAGGCCCCGAAATCCACAGGGGAAGTTTAGTGTACAAGCGGTGGTCTGTTCAAAGCTAATGTTTGTAACTTTTGCCTAGTTGTTATTACCATGGATTTAGTTTTATCTATCTTAATTTGTATGCGATTATCATTTCTCCATTTTATAAAATTACCTGTTTCTTTGTGTAAGAAACGTTCTAATTTATTACAATCATGACTTGACTTGACTTTCTACCCCACTAGGACATCACACAAGCGATAAACACCCGATGACACAAAGTGCCACCATGCGGATGAGGATCACCCGTGGAGAGGTCCCAGAAACCGCGTTCAGACACTTGGCCATATTTATGGCCTGCCTATATTGCGGCCCCTGGCAATAACAAAAAAATTTCGCCCTAAAAAGGACGAAACTGGATGATACCAGCGATAAGCAATAAATTACAATCATTATGACTAGCATATATTATATAGTCGTCAGCAAACATCACATGGTGTACTGGGATGTAGAGGGTGATTACTATGAGAGGCTAAAAGTAGTGGACATAATATTGAGTCCTGAGGGACGCCTATACTTAATGTAAAAGACAGACAGACAGACAGACAGACAGACAGACAGACAGACAGACAGACAGACAGACAGACAGACAGACAGACAGACAGACAGACAGACAGACAGACAGACAGACAGACAGACAGACAGACAGACAGACAGACAGACAGACCGACAGACCGACAGACAGACAGACAGACAGACAGACAGACAGACAGACATAAATCAATCAAGGGTAGGCGTCCTTTTATTGCAGAGATTTAAACTTACTCTGGTAGCACTGGTGGTGGTGGTGGTAGCACTGGCGGTGGTGGCGGCGTCGGCGGCGAGGGTGGTGGTCGTGGAGATCGTGGCGTTGGAGCCTTGGGTGGTGGAGGCACCGGAAATTGTGTTGGGTTGTCTGGTGGCGTTTCTTTTGGTGTCCTCTTGGATTTCTTTATCCTCCTAGGAGTCTCTTTCTTTGATGGAGCGTTACTGAACTTCTGTTGTCTGATCGAAGAGATATGAGGTAGGAAGATTCATAAGAGATCTGAGTCTTTATACGGGCATATTTATTTTCTGCCTTCGCCTTTAGATAATCAACAAAATCATCTTCGCTTTCAACGTCGAGGCCATCAGTTCCTCACAATTTGAACAGTATTGATCATCTACATTATCATTATTTACCTTCATCAACATCATCGTCATCGTCTTTATTTTCACCATCATTTTCATCATCAACATTTAGCCATTGTGATCACAGTTGGTCAAAAAAGTGAAAAGAGAAATCAATTACCCATTACATAGAATGTAGATCTGTACCAAAGCTGACGATACACTTTTTTCTTTTTGAAGAGTAAAGAAACAATTTTTGAAAGGTACAAAAACACACAAAAAGGTACAATATGTTTTAAAATTAAAACAGTTAAAACATTTATATATATGTATATATATATATATATATATATATATATATATATATATATATATATATATATATATATATATATATATATATGGACGGACCCAGCCTTAACAGCTATATTTATATATATATATATATATATATATATATATATATATATATATATATATATATATATATATATATCATCATGTAGCAATTCTTTTGCAGAACCTCACTCTCATCACAGTCTGCCTGAAAGAAACTCGGTCTCTCCCCAGTTCTCCTGCCTCATGTACTTTCATACTCAAGGAATATATATATATATATATATATATATATATATATATATATATATATATATATATATATATATATATATATATATATATATATATATATATATATATATATATATATATAAATATATATATCGTTGTCGGCTCTGTGGCTAAGTCGATGCGAACGCTACGCTTCGAAATGCCGGGATGCCGGGTTCGATCCCAGTTGCGGGCAATGCGCCTTGCGTTGGTTTCAACAGTGGTATCAAGAAAGCCGACCGTCCAGAGGCAATGGCAAACTACTGGACGTAAATTTGCCAAGAGAAACCACACAACAGCCAGGGGCTGTTAGGGTTGGTTCTGCAACGTCCTGTAAAGGATACGCAACTAACTATATATATCGTTATTTGTGATATGGTCTGTGTATGATTTGCTAAGAATTTATTTGAACGATCTCATTTATTTGTATCTTCTTGTCATGTTCAGCTGTTAAGGTAGATGTTAAACAGCCAAATGTAAACCACCACCAGTCATTGTAAAAAAAAACAGTCAAGCTGACGGACATTAGTCTTACCTGCGCCTGCACCAGCTAGCAAAGGGATTTCTGCAAGGACAGCAATATCTATAGATGAGAAAGCCGCTCAGGCCAAGCCAAGCCAGGCTGCCAAAAATTGTGGGGAGGAGCCAGGACAGCAAGTCCATGGTGCTCTTGTCGTCTGTGGATCCAACAACAGCAGCGCCAGCTGCTGGGGTTGTTGCTGTTGCTGCTTTTGTAGACGGGATTGTCGCTGCTTGAGTTGGCGCTGATGGGTCTCGTGTGGTGGTTAGAGGAGTTGTTGGGCATGGCTGTGGGGTGAAAACAAAAAGATTTATACATCAGAATTCTGAATTATAACATCGGCACTGACCCCCCCCCCCCCAACCCCTATCCCGTTCAACCCAAACAATTTGTTAACGGGAGAAGGAGAGTTGATCGCCTGCAATATTGTTGTGAAAAACTGCTTAGGGGTAGGGATGCTGTGGGATAGCGTGGGGGGGGGGGGCAGGTGGATGCTAAACAGGAATTCTTATTTTCATTTAAAAATTATCTTTAAAAGTGTTTGTTTATACATTTTATATTATTTCAAAAATATTATATTTATTGCCCATTCAGCACATTACTATTATTATTCACCCAAACTAAGAATAAGCCTATTGAGGCCTACCCCTCTGCCTTAAAAATGTGTAAGGTGAGAGCCTCAGCGACCCCCATTCGCCCCCTCCCTTAATCTTTTCTAAGTGTCTGCGCTGCAGATTTATAACAAAGGTTGTCCCAGCTTTAAATAGGTACCAGGTACATTTCAGGGAAGTGAAGGCGGCCAGCGTGATGTAAATCACTTCACCGACTGAGTGCGGATTGGTCTATACAATTTAGTTCCAGACCTATATGCCCAATACTCATAACGGTGTGGAAAATGGATTTTACTAAACAGACATCGTCGTATGCTGTTAAGTATTCTTCTTCTGATAGTCCAAGCCTTGTGACACTGGTAGCAAGTCATTTACCTACATCCTCAAGAGTGTCTGTGAAGTATTCTCTCTATAGTTCCTACCGCGTGGCTCTGATAGTTCTTCTGATTTTTTTGTGTGTGGCTAATATAAAGTCAAATAGCACTATAGCTTTTTTTTTAGATGATCCGAGCCACGATAAGCAAAGATTATAAGGATTGAATGGAGACAATAAAGCTACACTTTACTACTAATAGGGTTTCCAGTATTTACACCTATTAGACTCTCATTCTTGCGATGGGAATCCTAGAGATGCAATTCTGGGGGGGGGGGGGGGGGGGGGGCTTTTTATATACATTAGTAGTATAGTGGTGCTTTATGAAGTCAGTTTTTTGGGGGCAGCACACACACACACACACATGTATATATATATATATATATATAAAAAATATAATAATTTCAAATATATTACTGTATTTATTTGCATTTCGGCACACATTATTAGCAATAATTGTTACCGGAACTTAAACAATGCTCAAGTCCATTAGAGCCAGTCTCTAGAAAATTGAAAGTAAACCGAACCGCTTTTCACAATTATTTCTAGGTGGTGATGCTCCTGTCTGCACGTTTGCCCCTGAAAACATTTATTGCACCCTACTGCAAAGGAAACATAATTTTTTTTAATTCCGACAACACGAGTGTACCCACCCCACACGTCATGCTAATGGTAGCTGGCGTTCCTTGCAGAGGTCCTGGATATATTCCTTCATCGGCGATTGTGGCAGAACCTGTAAAGCCAGATAACTCTATTATATCCTCTTTGAAAGGATTAAAAGGAGATATAAGATAAGAAAGTAAAAGACTATTATTATTGCTTTGAGATGTTTTGGGCACATAGGGCTAGACCTATATTTAAAGACAAATAGGCACTCTGTGGTTGACGTTGTAAGCATTACCCTGGCCGCCTTCACTTCCCAGGACTGTACCTGGTACCCACTCAAGGTTGAATAGACCTGGGAGCCAAGGTCATTAAAAAAAATCCGGCTCTGATATACAGACGAACGTCTGGCGGCTACAGTACATCATCATCAAGTGCCTTGCCGACTGGTGTGGGCGATCATGCCTCTCCACAATCTGCGATCTGCAAATGCGTGCATCAGTTCGTCTGTCGACACCCCTGCATGCCATGAAAAAAAGACTGTCAAGAATGTTTTAACGTTGTCTTCCTCTGTCTCTTTTTCCACAGATTTTTCCAGTGGTCACAACATGTTCCATTTTCTCTCTTCTCTTAACATGACCCAAAGAAATGATGATTCTTCTGATGTTTGTGATAGGTTGTCTTCGAGCGTCTTTCAAAACATTTGGGTTGCTCTTCATAGCTGTCCAAAAAATTCTAAGGATTCCTCTGTAAAACCACATCTCCGCAGCCTCAAGATATTGTACGGCTTGTTTAATAATTGTCCAGGATTCACAGCCTTATGTTAAAACTGGCTCTATGAAGCATGCAAGAATTCGTTTACTAACCTCCAATGACATGGATTTAGTGCATAAAATGTTCTTCATTTTGTCAAATGCAGTTTTGGCCTGTTCTATTCTATTCTTTATCTCTGTGATACATCTTCCATTGGATGTTATCCATGTGCCTAGATACTTAAATCTTCTTCTTCGCGTTCACCAGCTGTAAAATCTGGCAGAAAGCTCTGGTTGTTCATCCACTTCTGGACTGCAGTCCTGTTCCAGAACCTGAGTGTTGCGTGTGCATCCGTTTTACAGGTCTGACTTATCTGAATGCAGACTGCAGGTTCTTTGCCTCTTAGGCAGATGCACTCCGACTTTGAAGGAAACTCCCAATTCGTCGACTCTTACGACATGCTTTTGGGTAGGCAGTGGGTATATTCTTGTTTTCCTTATAACAGGGCCCCGAAACCCACACGGGGGGATACTTAAATGTCGCTACCTGTCTTAAAATAACGCCTTTGACTTTTATTGTACATTCAGGCACTATTCTTTTCTTGGAAATCACCGTTAACTTCTGCCTACACTAGAGCGGTTGCCAAAAGGCAACATGCTTATCGAAAACACTGCGAACTTGCACATATGTGCAACAACAAACACAAAAACCAACAAGAACAACCCGAGGAGCTGTTGTCTAACCCTCCCGTCCCTTCCCTTTTTCCGACCCTTATCATTTGCTGCTGGTTGTTAGTCGAGGTTTCCAGTTCACTGAAGTTGGGTTCCCAGAGTTGGGGTATCAGAGTTGGGTTGCAAGTGTTTGTCAGAGTTGGGGTGCTAGAGTTCGGGTTGCCAGAGTTGGGTTACCAGAGTTGGGGTGCCAGAGTTCGGGTTGCCAGCAGAGGGAGAAAGTATGAACTTGTTCACGCCATCTGCAAGCTACGAAAATGATATACAAAGACTTTACAGCCTAAGCAGATGGATGGATAAGCGATCTTTCAAAAGTCAGTACAGAAAACCCCCGTGTGGGTTCCGGGGCCCTATTATGGGAAAAACAAGAATAGAACCACTGCCTACCCAAAAGCATGTCGTAAGAGTCGACTTATTGGGAGCTTCATTCGAAGTCGGGGTGCATCTGCCTGAGAGGCAGGGAACCAACAGTCTGCATACAAATGTCAGATCTGTAAAACGGATGCACACGCGACACTCAGGTTTTGAAAAGGACTGCAGTCCGCAA